TGGGGAGAGGACAGTTTGAGCTTCGTTGCTGGGGCTACTACCCCAGCAACCTGGAAGTTGATAAGTGTCCAATGATGAGTAATTTTGAAAATAATAGTGCTAGACCAAAGGATATATACATTCTGTTTCAGCTTGAAGCAACAAAGACAATGAATTACCCAAAAATAAAAACCCACAGGATCATGTTTTTGGAACATTCTACACATAATATTCAGTTTATCTTATATTCCAATATTTAACTAGTTTCCCTACAATCTCTCTGTTTGTTATACCAATATATCTTTCTTTTTAACATGAGAAATTGGTAAACCTACTGCGTTTGTTTTCAGAGTAAATCAGCCTATCTCCGGTGTCAACAGTGCTGCCTCATAGCTAGAACAAACTGACGTGACCTCAGAGCTCATCCTGCTTGTGTCTTTCCCTTCTCTCATTATTAAGGCATGAGCATGACTGACGAATAACTGCTCGGGACCCTCTCACCTCCACATTGTTTGAGGTGAGGAGGGTGGGAGAAGGAGGTGTGGAGGAGGGATGAAGCAGGTATAATTCCACGCTTCAGGTTTCACTGTGGTCACTGCAGGAGGAGGGGCAACTGAGAGAAGGTGGGGATTGTGGGAACTGTGTGAGGATAAAGAATAAAATTGTGGTTTTTCTGACCACTGATATCCTTCTCTTTCTTGTTATTCTCATCTTTGTCGACCCTGCTGAGGATTTAACCCAAAGATGCTGCCTCCTGTTCCTCAGCTATTTGGAGGAGAAAAAGGACAACAGGGCAAGGTCTGCAGAGAGGCTTCACAGTAGAGAAATGTGATTAAAAACTCACAGTTAATTGGCTTTTTACATGATAAAGCACACCCTCATACATAAGTGGGAGCCTCTCAACGCCACAGGCCTGGCCTGTAGCAAAGCAAACATACAGCTTGAGCAGTCCCTTTGTTGTTGAAATTTTCAGAGCTAATCATCTTAAACTTAATCTGAATTTCTCTTTCTGCATTTCTGCCAGAGAAGAGCTCACAAAGCTTGCAACTACTCAGAGAAGAACACAGATCAGGTAAAGATCAATATTAATATTGAAACTGATGAAGATGAAGTCAAAGTTTTCACCTGCACCTCCAGGCCCTCCAGAGGACCTGTTTCTTTATTATGTTTACACTCAATTATTTAAACTGTTTGTATTTTGTGTTTTGTTAAACATTTCAAATAACTTATTGCAGAAATTCATTCAAGTTCTTCAAACGATTGTCACAGAGTGGTTTAAGACATAAAGATAACATTCCTCTTTGTCTCATCATGGTGAGAGCTTTGTTCAAGAGCAACATGCACAGATAAACCTGCTTACTGTCCTTCTTGTGTTTAGTGTAAATCAGCTGTTGCAGCCTGGTCACAGGTTTGAGTCAAGGCCGGGTTAACCATATGGGCAACTGGGCAATTGCCCAGGGGTCCATGAACTCTAAAGGGCCCACGCTTTACATTAAACTAGGGTGACCATACATCCTCTTTTCCCCAGACATGTCCACTTTTCACTCTCTGTCCGGGCGTCCGGGGGGTTTCTTGTATCGATGAAAATGTCAGGTTTTTCATCCAGGAGCAGGGATCAAATTGTGGGGGAGCTGGATGTCCTACACATCCAGGGAAGCTAGAAAAAACATTTTCTACCAATATTTCATCATTCATGGACTCTTTTGAGCAGAGAGCACAGAGAGCGGCAGAGCAATGATCGTTGGTGCGCTCCAGGCAGCTGCGTCCAGCGCACGGTCCATTCTCAAAGTGGAGCAACCAAAAAACTATAATTAACACACGATCGTTCATGTCCGCACATGTTCTCTACTTTCTGTCTTATTTGTGCCTGAAGCGCCCTGCTACTGCTGAGCTCATCACCTGTGCTGCGGTGATTTCACCTCACTGACGCAGCATCGAAACGCGCACTCCGCTTTCCGGTCAGGAGATCCCTTTGATCTGCTCAGAAGTAACTGATGAGGTGAAAAAGTAAGAATCCAGGCAGCAGTTATTCTGGAGAGTTTAGAGGAGATGCAGGAAGATGAGAGACGGACAGGACAGGAAAATAGTTAAATAAAAACAAGAAAACAAGTAAAATGTAGGTAGATTTATCTCCACTACACGTTTTTACCTGTTTAAAGCAACAAGTTATACACATGTAGTATTTATACATCTGATACAATTCAGATCACCTTCAAAACTCTGTCACACACCCAGGGCTGTTTCAAGGCATTTTGGGGGATATGACAAAACAGACTCCCCCCCACCCCCCACCCCCATTACTGGGCTCTGTGTAATGCAGTGTTTGTAAAAGCTCCTCAGACATCACTGACATGTTCTAATATTATCAGATGAAAAACTAAATTATCCGACATGCTGTCTCATCTGTTGCTTTTCTAAACTTGCAAAAAGTAACAAAACCATTTCAGAGCCACTATATGTGGATTATCTGAAAGTTTCCATGGAGTGTGGGACAACTTATTTTTTCATTGATACTATCGTCTAATCTCACAGCTGAAAAAAGCATCCTTAATAATCTGTGCACAGGAAGCTTACCGATGCTGTAGTAAAACAAAAGGTATAATAATTTATTATTAATAAAACCTTGTTGCGGCACTAAAGCAGAAAAATGAGATTTTGCATCAAATATGCAAAATATTTACATATGAATTGTTTTGGAGCCCTTTTAATGGCAGAATCTGATATTAATTTACTTCTTACAAAAAATGGGTCCCAACGTGGTTTGTGTGGCGTTGCCATAGTGTGACATCATAGGCACAGATCCCCTGTCCTCTTGTTTGGAAATGGAAATATGGTCACCCTATATTAAACAAACTGTCCACCTGGGCTTTTGCGCTGCACAGAGACGCTTCGCTGCCTATGACTGACCGTCAGTTGAGAGTCAGTCTCATGCAGACTGACCAATGAAGAGAGGGCCTCAAGTTAAGACCCTCTCCTCATTGGTCAGTCCACACGAGGTGGGTCAAAGGTTACTCTGGGCGGGTTACGTGTTGTCAGGCATTTAAGTATTGAGTATATTTACTGCATATTACAGTAAAATATTCTGTACTGTATGTGACCATATTATGGTGGGTCACATATATTATCCTTGGGTCGTGATGATGGGGCCCTTGAATATTTTTGCCCAGGGTACAACAAAGTGTTACTCTGGCCCTGGTTTGAGTTAAACTCCAAACTCACAGGTACCTGAGTCCTCCAGTGGCCTGTTCAGGTTAACATTTGAACGTTATCATTGTATTAATGTGTTTAAGGGAAGTCCATAGAAGCAGAGCAGTCAGACGAAACGTCCCAGTTACCTTTTTTGTTTGTTTTCTCAAAGAGAGCATACAGGCGGCAACATCATGTACGGAAAATACATTTAATCTAAAGCTGAAAATAAAAGATTGACATTAAACACTTCCTGTAATCAATCCTGTTGATCTGCTATAAAACACACCGAGGAGGAGGAGGGAACTCATCCTGAAACAATTCCACATGATCTTTTATTTTGTTTTATTTATTTATAACTACAGATGTTGTTGTACTTTTGTTTGTGAATAATCCATCAAACTTTTATTGTCTCAGTCTTGGCCAAGAAATGAAACCCATCAGTTTCAGCACACATCCAGACTCCGAGGCGATATCTCGCTGTGTATTGTTTGAATATTGATTCTCGAGCATCCCAGAGTTCAAAGGGCACCCTTATTTTATAGTAATGGAACAACGGCAGCAGAATTCTTAAACTGTGTCACAATTATCTTGGTAACTCTCTTCTTACACATCGTTGTTAATGTGTGAGCGATGGATGTGGGATGTAAAGACATTGTGTGACTGTCCTGCAGCGACGTCTCCAAATCTTCACACAATGAAAAACTCCCGTTGAGCCGAGACACAGCAAACAGGTCTCAAAGTCCACACTGCTACCGCCCAGAGGCAGTCACTGGTCAGAAAACACACACCAACACTTATTGGCTGACATGATGAACTCTTTGTGCTGTGATTGGCCAGCTGGGACGCCTACGCTGACCTGTGCAGGTCTGGGAGCAGCTCAGGTAGGTGTGGATGGCTGGAAGACAAAGGGCATGCAGGGAAAAAAGATATCCACTTGCTGTAGGGTCTAGTGTGCTGTTCCCTGCTCTGTATCACCTTACCTTATGTAACTGGGTTCATACGAGCACCAAATGACGCCCAACACAACAGACTTTTTAAAAAATAACGTATAGGATGCTCCAGCCATCCTGTTTTTCCATCTCTGTTGAGGTAAAACTGACTTGTCTGGGTCTGAGGGGCACCTCTTCTCACTTCCTCCTTCTCAATCATCCAACAATAATTGGTGGGAGTGGGCGTGTGTACATCTGGTGCAATAACTCTCCCCCACCCCATCAGCTTACCCTCTTCTTGCTTTACCCAGCCCCCCACCCTGTTGAAAGCTCATTAAAAGACCTCCTGTTAATGAGCTAGTGGGATCATAGCACATCGTTTCCATTAGAAGGGGTGGGGTTAAGGCCATGATGCTGTTGCAGAGGTTTTTATGCCCCTAAAACAGAGTCAGCAATTATCTCAACCCCTTGATACTCCCCACCCACCTCGTTCTGCCTCGTAACATCCCCAACAATAACAAAACAGAGGTGTCCCATATCCTGGGAAGTCCAAGTCATCCTCCCTGTCCCATTGGAGCTTTTTCCCAGAAAAAAGTTAGGAATTTGTACCAGATACATGCTCCCTCTAGTTCAACTGCAATTCTGAGTTGAAAACTAAGATCAGAGAGATGTAAACAAGGAGCGAGGGTCCCTAATCCAAACACATGCATTAAAAATTAAAAAGTCAGCGCCGGCTGTGGTCCTCAGAGAAACGACCCACACCGACTAAGGCAGCATCCCAGTGAGAAAAGACACTTAAAATAGTTGCAAACGCTTTGTTGAAGATCTCAGATGATAGAAAAATTCACAGAAAAGGAACATCAAAACAATGGATGCGAGCAGAAGAAAGGAAAACAAAAAAAATTTCATCTCAAGTCTTTATTGAGGCTTCTTGTGAAAAGATTCATAACAATATGTAAATTTTACAGACAGAAAAGCCACATAGCTTCGGTTTTAAGCATATAAATGAACATGAATCATATGTAACAGGGGCAGGCAGATAAATAACAAGGAGCGCAATAAGAACTATATACAAACATCTTCCCTGAACAGTTACACAGCACTCAACTCACTTTTATTCACTTTAAAAAAAAGTTTTGACCTGAAAGCATCAGATGTACCGGAGTTATTACAGTAGAGATAAAAAGCGGACAATTTACTGGAGGTTTTATTGTGAAATTAGCCAACTTTGTGTCAAAATACCAACAAGTCAGATGACACACCAGAATCTCAGCACGGAGACAACCGAGTCAGTGAAACGATGGCAAAGATTAGGGGTAAATTGCATAAAACACATTTTCACATGCCTACATTCACCCAAGTGCTCATTCAGACTCTGCAGCCTTCCAACAAACGACTGCACCCGTCGACCCTGTAGGTTCAGCAATGAAAACAGACTATGTCCGTTGAGCAATCAACATGCAGAGTCCATAAATTAGGAAGAATTCAAAGACAGGCACCAACAGAAACATCTTTAAACGGCTTCGAAGCATGCACGAGCTCCACACAGTCCGGCACCTCACCAACAGAAAAGACCAGAGAGGGAAAACAGAGCAAAGGGGGAAACTATACACACCCGTTTCACAGAGAAAACTGCTGGTTTTTTATGCATAGAGACTAATCATACAAAAACATCAGTAGGTGAGACTTTAAAAGTCTATCTGCACATCTATAAAATTAGAAATTGAAAGAAAAGCAGGAACTTATTCATGCGTACGGTTACAAAGTTTGGAGCACAACCTTGTTCGGCCCTGTGGGCCCTGTAAACATGAAGTGACAAGTGTTGTGACAACCAAGCGCCTTTAAAAAGAGGAGTGTGACAAACTACAGGCAGACGGTGTTTGGATTCAGATCAGCTCTGTGTCTGTTCTAAAGTCTTTAAAAGGTATTCTCAAAAGAAAACAGCTAGGTAGCACAACATGACCTCCCTCCATCCCCTGGAGCTGAATATATTAACATTCCTCTATTGCTGGGCGTTTTAAAATCAATATATATATTTACTTGTTTTTACTGTGGTTTGTTTGACAGTAGTTATTCATCTCCACCTGTCCAGTAGGTCATCAGAGACATAAATCATAAGTCTTTTGCATCCTGCGCTGCAACATGGTGATCGGTTTCCTGTGTTGATGTGGACTGTGGCGGCACACTTCCTGTTCATGAGCTATGGTAATCTCCCTGCTGAATGTCACGGCCTTGTTTTTCTCTGTGGTCTGAAGAACTGTAGGCACTTTACTTTCAACTAGCAGCTTTGCACTGAATTGACTGCAGGCTGCTGTGTGCCTCTGTGCTGGCAGGACCATGAGACTCCCTGCTGCTGAGGAAAAAGTCTTGCAGTTTCTTCCTCAAACGTGACTTTTGATTTCAGTTAAGTGCTTTTTAAAATTTTCTCTCTCTCAGAGAGCAGAAGTTAAAGCTAAGCTCACCTCTGCATTGTTTTCATGTGGGAGATCTTCTGCTAGGGCTGGACTGCCCTCTGCATATTCTGCTTGGCTTTGTTCCTCTTCCACCTTCATGCTAACTAACACATCACCCTGAATTTTATTCTCCATGTCCAAATTGGCCTCATCCTCCTCCTCCTCCATCTTCACCACTGCTTGTTCCTCCCCCACTCTTAAAGCAGCTAAAGTGTCCGCGGCGCTGGCCTGTGCGTACGCTCCCACGCTGGCGTGGCTTAGGCCGTGAACTTTCTTCAGATGTTTCTCCAGGGTGGCATAGACTGTGAAGGGCACGGCGCACAGCTGGCACAAGAAGGACGCCTTGGCCCCCTGAGCACCGTGGGTCTTCATGTGGCGTGTTAACTTGGAGCTCTGAGCGCAGGCGTAGTTGCAGAGGCCACAGCGGTACGGCCGCTCGCCTGTGTGGCTGCGTCGGTGCACAGTCAGGTTACTGCTGTTCCTGAACTGTTTACCACAGAATTCACAGGCCTCGTCCTTCTTCTTCTTCCCAGTTGAACCTGGAGTGGAGCCATTGTTTCCTTTACCGTTAGCAGCACCTCCTGCAGTGGTACTCCTCCTCTCGTAGTCCCTCTGCCACTCCTGCACCGCCTCACTGACTTGAGTGGAAGCCCACTCCTTCTCCCTCTCAATGAGCTCCCCTCTTTCACTGTCCCACTCTCCGACTCCTCGCGTCCTGTCACTCATCTCTGGACGTTTAGGCGTGCAGTTGCCACTGGCGATGCCGCTTTCGCCACTTCCTCCCGTCTCCCCGCTCTCTAGCGAACCTTCAGAGGGACTTGCGCAGGGGGAGGTGGCCTGGGGCTCCCCATGAGCCTCAACTCCCTCCTCTCCTCCCTCCGTCCCAGCTCTGTGGTTCTGGTACAGCCTGAGCAGCTCCTTGTCTGGGGGTCTGAGCTGGGAGGTCAGCAGCATTAGACCTGAAGCCAAGGATGGGTGTTTAGGTATGGTCAGGTCCAGCTCAGAGGAGCCCTGAACTCCCTTTGCCGCTCTCGCTGACTGCATCTGAAGCCTCCCTCTTATCCTCCCAGCATCCTCCTCCAACAAGACAGTCTCCACCGACTCACAGCCACTTCCTGCACCTGCAGCATCCCTGTGGTGATTCCTTATGTGACGAGCCAGCTGACCACTCTGAGCGAAGGCCTGCCCACACACTCCGCAGTGATAGGGCCTCTCGCAGGAGTGAGTCCGGCGGTGGGAAGAGAGGGCCCGCAGGGAGGGGAAGTTCTGCTCACACAGCTTACAGTGGAAGTCCGCTGGAAGAGAACCGGTCTGAGGAAAAGTAGAAGCTGCTGGAGGAGACGAAGACGGGGACAACCCGAGGTCCATGGAAGAGCTGCTGTTGAGGTTATTCCCCTCGGCAAACTCTCTGAGTCGTACTGAAAAGTTCAACGCCTGCAGATTCCCACTGGAGGAGGTGGAGTGAGTCTGATGGGAGCGGCGGTGAAAAGCAGAAGCAAGAGCCTGGCTGAGGTGGCGTGGGTCCAGAATGGCTGCTGCAGGTTTGCTCTGTTTATGGCCCCCTCCTCTTCCCCCCATGTCGTAGTCCTCACCCTCTTGGTAGATGCAGAAGGAGTGTGTGTGCTGAGCGTGCTGCAAGAGTGCCCACGCAGATGAAAACACACCTTCACACTGCAGGCAGGTGAAAAACAAGGGCTCATCTAGAGCTGCAAACAAAAATGGAGAAATCGTGTCAATGCCTGCAAGCTGTAGCGGCCATCTTGAATTGAATTGACTCTAAAAAAGGTTAAACAGCTGTAAATCAACACCTGATGATCATTTTCTGAATGTCTCATTAAAACCAAGAGCTCCACGAGACACAGCAGCAGATATAATTATCACCTGCCTTTTGATAGCAGGTGATTCTTAGGGTGTCACAAAATTTACTAACAGTCTGTAAATGTAAATCTCAGATTACCTGAGAGAAGTGAATTTCTGCAGAAAGCATCACAGGTGGAAGGAGGAATTGAGTTTTTTGTTTTTAGGTAAAAGTACAGATAAAGGGGTAAAAAAAATTACTTAAGTAAAAGTGGAAGTATCCAAAAGACTTTTGATGCAAGTATAAAAAGTATGCAACAGTAAAAAAGTAGAAGTACTCATAATTGAAATATGTGTTGTGTGTAGAAGTGTGCTGCCGTAGCCGGGAGCAAAAGGGGCCATATATATATATATATATATATATATATATATATATATATATATATATATATATATATATATATATATATATATATATATATATATATATATATATATATATATATATATATATATATATATATATATATATATATATATATATATATATATATATATATATATATATATATATATATATATATATATATACAAATGTTGGAGCAAAAGTAAAAAGTTAAGAAAGCTACTTAAAGAGACACTAGGATGTTTTGGCTTGCTTTTACCACCCCCTAGTGTGCGTTTCGTAGAACTGAAAGCAAAACTAATCTCCCCACGGTGCGTTTGTCTAACGCAGGGTTTCCCCCAGCGCTTTATAAGCCTGGTAGGCCGCCAGGCTTTCCTTGCCCAACCGCCAGGCTAAGTATCATGTCCCCCCCCCCCCAACCCTATCGTGTCCGCTGACACAAACGGCACAACGAAACTAGAGCCCTCCATCAGCTGATACTGGTGAGAAACAGCAGCGGAACATGTGCACCCCCCCCCCCCCCACCACCACCACCACCCCACCCCCCCCCGCGCGCGCTCCCACAGAGGCGTGCTGTGGGATGGAGCGCGCGACCCCCCGCCCCGCTCTTATGGAGGAGCGCCGCCAAGCTTTCCTTGCCCAACCGCCAGGCTGCAGGATGGAGGGCGTGACCCCCCTCCCCAGCCAAAGCCGCCAGGCTAAACTCATTTTCTGGGGGAAAACCCTGTAACGCCTTAATCTAACAGCAGAAATGTCTCCTCAGCCTCGGTGTCTAATCGCTTAATCACTAAATTAAACAAATCAGCTGTGTTCATGATCTAAAACATGAAGGAAGCGTGCTGGAAGCAAACTGCAGCGCCAGGTATGTCAGCTCAATTTTTTTTCAGCCCCTTCTTACCGAACTGGCACTCTGAAGTTGCAAATGCAGTACTCTGGCCACAGATGATGGGGTCCGAGTGACATTTCATTAACCTTGAAAAGGGTCATTTTAGCTCATACTGGCTCAAAAAAATTAAAAATATGAAAAAGTTGCCTATAGTATCTTAGTACAACAACAAAGTACCTGTACTTTGTTCCCGTCTATCCCTAGAAACCATGCACACGGCACATATTTAGTTGTTGAATATTTTACTTTAATTTTTAAATAAAGTCTTTTAGTTTTAAAGAGGATTTAGAATGAAGAAGTGATTCAGAAAATACATCTGAAGTCATTTATTCTCACTAAATCCAAAATAAATAATCAAATTAGAGAATATCATTGTTATTAGAGAGAACGCCAGTTTTAGATTCATATTGTCTTTAGTTTTCAGGCCAGAACGTCTAAACATCTAAGGTATAATAGGCAACTAATTTGTTGACGCAGAGACTTGATTTACTTGCTAATTCCAATAAATCCTTTAAATTCTCCTAAAAAGCAGAAAGGGAAAACAAGTTTCACGATTGAGGCTCTAACTAGCTGAAGGCTTGAAAACCAAAACAACCAGTTGTATGATTCAGGGCGACAAAACCAAGATGATTAGAAATGTTTCTTTGTGGTTTAATCATTGCAAAGCAACAACACTCACATGCAGACAGGTACAGTTTTGTTATAGAAGATTTTGACGTGTAAAAATAACAGTGAACACCAGATTTAGCTGACAGACAGGGTGGAGAATTGGCTGATGAAGAACCTGGCCCAAATGAAAACCTTAACAAGTTAAAAAGGTGTGAAGAAAATTTCTGAAGAGCAAAGTGAGAAAGAAAAGTGAAGCCAGCAAGAGTCGTCTGGAGATACTTTTTAAATGTGGACAGCTTTGTCTTCTCACCAAGAGCCACTCTCCAATTAAGCTGCAAATTGCTAATTAGCAGAACGCAGAAAACGAACGCTTTATGTAAATCAGGTTCTGACTCAGCCCGCTTGACAAATGAGGCCTTTCTGCATAAATCAGAACTGGAGAGAAGATCCCCAAATCGAAGGAAAAGCTTTTTTTAAACACTTGGAGAGGTTCAAAGCCGACTCTGGTGTAAGCCTCTTTCATGTTTCCTCAAGTCAAATCCTTCTGTATTTTATTGGAAGAAGGGGGGGATTGGGAGGGGGGTGTAAAGATGAAAAAGAGAGCAACTGTTTCTTTCTCTCTTTCCCCTCTTCACCCTCCCTCTGTCTGGAGATGAGAGGAGCTGTGGTGCTCATGTCCTTTAACCTAGCCTGGGGAGAAACCCAGGAGAAGTTGAGATACTTACAAAAACAGGGTGAAGAGCAGGAAAAAAAATGAAAGATGGAGAAGGATAGGTAGGTCAGGGCTCGGGAGATAAAACCCGAACCAGATAAAAAGATTGTAATGTAGGGTGAGGGAGGGCCAAGAGACACCATGAAAATATGTCACCCTTCGAGTTGTATCGAGACCCATCCTCCAACCCTGACTCCCCCCTAAAAAAACCACCAAATCTTTCCCTAAGGGTGAGGATGAAGAGGGAGGGGGGGCTTTTGTCTCGGGGTCCTGGAGAGAAACACAATACCCAGCCGGTTTCGCTTTCCTTCACTCTCCCTCCACTCACTCCTCCTTTTTTTTGTAAGGATTCCCATTTGGCCCAGGGTAGCACTTGAATATTAAGCAGAAGCAATAACTACTAATTAAAAATGCAGATTGGCTGGAAGCACTAACGAGCAGGAGGCAGAATCTATTCTCCCTCGGGAGGCAGAGGGAGGAGAGGAGAGAGGAAGAGGAGGAGGGGGGAGAAATTAAAAGAGGGCAAAGTGTTGAAGATGTGGGGGAAGAAATGGAAAGGCGTCGGAGATGAGGAGGAGGGAAAAAAACAAACAAGGAGAATAAATAAAAAGGAATGAGACAGATGCACGCGGATCTTCAGTAATCCATCTCGCTCTAAACCCCTCTCCTCCACCATCCTTGATGCTTCTTTTTTTATTTTATTTTTTTCAAATGCGGAAAATAGAAAGCTGGGGTGTTAAGGGATAACTGCTCTCACACTTTCAGGCGTTTAAAAACAACCAAAACGTTTAAATTCATTTGAACCTATACAAACCCAACATCTTCATGTCAGAATAGAAAGAAAACTGAACAAAAGCAACAAACGTTCACCAATAAAAATTTAATCCAAACTTTTCTACCACTGCATTATTCACACGCTGTGGTGCTCTTTCCTGCCTGGTCCCGTGCACGTGTTAGGGTTGCTGTGTAATAACCGACGGTGGCAAATTACTAAACTGCTAGTTTCTCTGACTAAGTGAGACACTCCGAGTTAAAAAAGACTGAAAAAGAAACCCAAGTTGCGGACAAACGGAAATTGTGCATGCACGTGTCTCTTGAGCGTTAGCACAAAGGAAGGAACTGCTCGTGTGTGTGCTTGTGTTTCACTGGAGAGTGTTTCAAACATGTGCAAAGTCAAGTAGTAAGGTGGACTTTTAGTCCTTTTTGCAAGACAATCAAAATAAAACTAAAGTTTTAACTTTTTTTTTTGCAGCGGGTCTAAATTCTTCAAAAGGATTTTAATGAGAACTGGAGGATCTCTGATCTGTCCCACCGTGACATTTTATTTGGCGTCCCAGCGCCCACAGTCTCATTTGTGCCCGTTTTCTCTAAAGGAACACATTAAAGTGTGAAGACCAAAAAAAAAAAAGGACTTGATAAAAATGTTTGAAACACAACAAGGAAAAACGAGGATATGTAAAAACAAGTGGAAAAGGAGGTAGAGGAAAGATGAAGGAGAAGCAGGAGGAGATTCCCTGGAGGTCAGGTGGCTCAGCTCGGGGCAGAACAGAGAAACATGGCTGAGGAGCCGAACATGATGCAATGTCCTCCATTACAGTGTCACTACGGTGAGGAGAGATGAAATATCTGTTTCCAGTTCACTCCCTGGACCATTTCGTGCTGCAAACCTGAACTTAACCCTCATCTTTGAGAAAGCCGAGAGGGTTTAGAGGATGTGGTTTGAGTTGGGTCAAGGTGAATGACAGGCAGGAAGAAACATGTTTACCTGGCCAGTCTGCCTCTGAGGCTGACAGCCAGGGAGAAGGGAAGGAGCTCAGGTGCTCTGAACGGGGTCCTTGGGGACCTCTGGTGCCCTCTGAATGTTCCTGATGCCTTTCCTTTCCACACAATTAGCCTGAGCGTCACTAACTCACGCGGGCCTGCTAATGGCAACGGCTAGTTAATGAGCTGGACTCGAGAGGAAGGAGGAGCGACGAAATGAAGTAAAAAAAAAAAGAGTCACTCATTAGCAACCTGCCACCTTGTTGTGTCTCATGTCCTCACCTGGTTTGCTAAGCTCCGCCTTCAAGCTCACATCGGGCTCCTCCACCCAGGACTGGTCCCTGGTGCCACCGCCTCTTCGGAGCTCGATGAAGCCCGGTCCAGGTTTGGCGTTGGCGACCTGATGGTGCCCGGCTCGGCTGGCAGGTGAAGGTGGGGTGGTGGCGGCGTCGGTGGCTTGGTTTTGTGAGCCGCAGCCACCCTGTTTGTGCTGGATGAATGCCAGGATGTGAGCAAGCGGAAAAGCCTGGCTGCACTGGCCACAGGTCAGCAAGTCACGACCTTCATCAGGCAAACAAACTGGTGGAGGAGGAAGAGGAGGCTGGTCACCTGAGGAGCCTGTGCCTCCCTCCATATCAGGAGCATCTGAGGAAAGAGAAAAGGTTCAATTATAATCAGAAACACCCCCAAAAATACTATTTTGCCATTTGTACCTCTTAAGCTATTTAAAATAGAAAATCTTAAAATGAGTTTGAAAAGAAATTTTTTTCTAGAGAGACAAGAACACAGATTTTTTTTATTTAAGGTCAAGATCAACTTTATAGTGCCAGCTGCTGGTTTAGTTGGTGAAATCTTCATTTGGTCAGCTTTTATGAATGAAGTTGTGCAAAAATGGGAGCGGGACTGTCAAAGAGCACTACTCTGGCTTACAAAACAGTAAATGCATTATTACGTTTCTGTTTTCAACAGCAATAGTATTATTTTTACCTTGTTTTTACTGATGAAACTTCAGTAAAATCAAGGCAAAAAAACGACTTTTGCTGCGTTAATAAAAGAGCCGTAATGTAGTTGGATGAAACACAGTCTGAACGTACAAAAGATGTTTTACTGTTTTATCTATTGGATTTTATCCCTATAAGTACCTCAATCCTGAAACTAAATGTTCTTAGAGAGAGAGGAATTAATTAAAATCTGATTTTGTGGAAAAATTAGAAGTAAGTAAACTGTGCGTGCATCTGCATGTGTGTGTGTGTGTCTGCTCCGTCTTCTCACACCCCAATGAGTCATAGCGGATGGCAGCACATGCTCAGCCAGGTTCTGTTGGAGGTTTCTTCCTGTTAAAAAGAAGTTTTCCTCCATTGTCGCTGCTTGCTTAGTATGGGCATCGTAAAGTCTCTGACATAAGTCAGTGACCCGATGCAATCTGCTGGGTTCCTTATAGGAATCCTTTAGCTAATTGGCACAATGAACTGAACTCTATTGGAATGTTTGTGAAGTGCCTTGAGATGGGGCTTGTCGTGATTTGGCACTAAATAAACAAACTGAATTGAAAAGGATAAAACGTGACATTTCTATGGTTAAATAATGAATCAAAAATGATCTGGCAACAAAGTCATCCGATTGTTTTCAGAGTAAAACTGATGTAAACTTCTAAGTGATCACACTTGGAGCTCATTTTACTTTAGTTCTTTCTTTAAAATCAAGAGTAAACAAGTGACACAGATTACTAATCCCAATCTGAAATCTACATGTCTGGTTTGACATACCAGCACTCAACATGATTGGTTCCAGTTGGGTCTTCTACACAGAACCTTTTCATCCAGCTGAACACAAAGTATATTTGACCTCAATGGAACGACACGCAGGCCTGGTGCTAGTTTCACTTAGAACCTGAATGAGGCCAACACTGACCACTTCCTTTAACCAGGGACGGATCTGCTCGCTCTGGCTGTTTGGGCGGAGGGGTGGGGGGGTGGGGGGGCAACGGTCTGTCTCAGATTAAACCTCTGCGTCCCATCGACTCAACTGCTCCCCAGAAATAACTAAAATGCGACGTGCGCAGAGGAGTTTTTAACTTTCCCTTTAAAGAAAATGTTGCCATACCAGCTTGAGCAGCAGGAGTTTCTCAAAAGGAAGTAGATTGCAATAAAAGAGGGAGAAAAAAAAGTGACTGGAGGTACCGAAGATAAGAGCAGGCCCTGTTTGAGTTCACTCATAAGCGAGGACTGCTCATCCGATTCAGCATTTAAGCTGACATATCTTATGTGGTTTTTGTAGTTTTACATGCAACCGCAGTTTCTGGGGCAGCGATGACCCCTGGAGAGTGTAAACCGCCAAGAGCAGGTACAGAGGAGGGAGAGGAGGAGGAAAGGGGGGTCAAAAGTCTATTGCTCAACACGGTCATGGGCACACCTTGATCTCTGAGCTGAATGCACCTGCCCAGACTGGGCAGGCTATCATGCAGGACAGGTACAGACAGTACAGTCTCAAGTCGGATCGCACCAGTTGTTACTTAAAAATGTCACCTTTCCTGTTTCGGAGCCGCTGTTTGTGCAGACTTGCAAGGCGCGGTTGCGCGCGCGCACACAAACACACACACACACACTACACGGTTGAGTCAGGGCCTGTGGTCACAGCAGACACGCACCACTGGTCTCCACTAGAGAACTGTTAAAAAACAAACTGTTTAACTTTTTGTCCTCTTTTCTCCGCGGAGTTTTATTTCTGGTTCTCGTTGCCTTAATGAATAAACCAATAAATAAATACAATAAAACAATCAGAACTGAACAGGGCAAGTCTTTATACGTGGGCACTTAATTGGCTGATAATTTAAAAAACTCCAGCATACGTGTGTGTGTGTGCGCGCGCGTGCGTGTGTGGTCTTAAGGCAGAAACTTATGTGGTAATCCAGAAAACCAGTCCAACTCCCCCCTGAAACTTTATCTGCCTCTAACCTGGAAATATTAATAATCATGTTCGGACCTGTAGCCTTTGAGCAAAGCGTGTACACCGGTCCTTCCTCTGTGCGAGCTGCAGCAACAATATCAGGACAAACAACGCGGACATTAGGGGTCTTCTTCAAACATACATGCATGACCGGACTGATCATTAAATAAACACTCTGAGGAAGAGAGAATAACCTGCTTATTGGTTATCAATTAAATATTAGGTTATAATAACCGACGCCAGATAACATGAAACGTAAATTAGCCTCAAAACCAAACCAGGAGATGCATTTGTAGTAATTTAAGACTTTTATTATGGAGCCTCGGCACCATCGCGCCCACACACCACGTCTCTACCTCCGGTTTACCTTGAATAGCACTCAGGTGCTGCGGTCGGCTTCCAAGTTTGCGCCTGGACATCGCGTAGAGCGTTTGGCACCTTTTCAGGGTCCCAAACCAAACCCAGTCCAGCTGGTCCTTCTCTGATAAGTTGACCGACACTCGAGCGGCGGGGACGGACTGATAAGACTTGCTGGCCTCCGCCTGGACTCGCACTGAGCTGAAGCGACGGCGTTCAAGTTCACGCTTCTTCTCCCAGCAGCGCGCAGGACAGAGGGAGGTGGGGGCATGGACCGAGCACACCGCCCGCCCCGCAGACCCTGATCCCGCCCCCTTCGGGTAAAACAATCCACGCACGCTTATCACCTTTAATTTTCTCACAACAAACTGGAGTTTAGTCAGTGTTGACTGACTGAATCATGTTTTTTAATGAGGCGGGGATCGTCAGAGTTCCTCCTCAGTGGCTCTGAGGGAACTAATTCTCCACAGGTGTTTTAAAACCAAGCAGGAACCAGGTCAGTATTCACTTCTGCTTTTCGCTCCGACCAGCTGCGGCTCCGACACTCATTATCTTCAAGAATCACTCAAATGAAAATTATTTAAAGTTCAAGCACGGATCCAAAACTCGCATCTTGTTTTTGTCGCCACCAACTGGTCAAAACAAAGTACCGCACTACTGACAACTCCAAAACTGCAATAAATCAAGCTATTTCTACAATATCAGTTATTGTTTCAATATATACAAAAACACCAAGACAAAAAAATATTCAAAATCTTTTTTTATTTTTTCTGCATTTAACATTCCACATTAGAGAAACACGTTTCTGTATTTGGCCAGCTGAGTACAAAATGAGCAACCAACAGTTTAATAAACACAGACAGATTCCCCCTTTAAAGTAGTTAGATTTGGATTTATATATAATTCATATCCAGCAAATCAAATTATGAGACAGCTTGAAACATTCCTTAGTTTTCCCGTTACAAAATTGTAGATTGTTGTAGAATATTGACATTGGGTAGATGAAAGGCAAAACCATGGGTACTGCTTTGTGTTACACACTTTCACCTTGTACAAATATCTCCAGAGGAAGTGGAGGGAAAACAAAAAATGTACCATGCAGAGGTGAAGAAATCTTGAAGAAAAATCTCAAATGAGTAAAGAATCACAGTCTGTTTCATGTATGAGCAGTACGAGCGATCGTGTTGAGTTGTAGGCTTATGAGCTGGTTTGGTTACCAACAGTCAGTCACTCCACCTCTTCATATTTCCATGTAAGTGGCTCTTGTTGGACAGTTTGTAATGGACGTTCTGCAGGATGAGTCCACCACGTCCACCTGTTAGTATCTGTAATACGGACTCCGCGATCGAGATCGAGATCGCGATCGTGACCTTCTGGGAAAAAACAAAATCGCTGTAGAAAAGCCGCCAGCACATGATAGCAATATTTACATCACTGATCTGATCTTTTCTGACACCAGACATGTCAAAAACAGCAAAATGACATTTGACTGTCACACTGTCAGTCTTAATTGTTTAGTTTTGTTTTCTGTGCCTGCAGCTTAAACATCTGAGTGCAAGCCTAGAATGGGACAAGCGCCCCCTGTAGGCTGGTTTCATTACAAGCTCAATCCCGCCCCCTTCATGTAAACTTTTGTGTAAAAGTAGAATTCCACCCAAGACAACATAAGACATGTTTTGATGTTGAGTCACTGTTAAATCTGTTTGTGCTGCATCATACATTTAATTACTATCCATAGAGGTGTGTATTGGCAAGAATCTGGCGATACAATATATATCACAGTCAACGGGAGACGATACGATATATGGTGATACTAAAAGCCAGACATATTTGCAATTTTCAACACTGAATTTGATGGGAAAACTCAGCTGGTTCAAAGATACATCCACAATCATCGCTATTTCTAATTGTTCCATCAGAATGAATGAGGTTAAAAACTGCTGCCACCTAGCAGCCAGGATTTGAATTGCACCACACAAAAGAAATACAGGAACTTTTTGCATTTAAATAATCAAGACTGGTATCGGAATATCGCAATATTTCAATAAATTGTTATTTTCTTACACCCTTAACTACCTAGAATCAACATCAGAGATTAATTAATCTTAAATCAAATATCCAGGTTAGTATAACTACTTATTATATTATAAATAATAACAGTAGCTATTGGCTCTTCCCAGAACACGAATGGTTTTCCAAACTGAGTTTAGTTTTGCTGAGATTTTCTTTGGTTTCAGGAATAAATAAAATAGCTTTCCACCCTCGTTTGGCATCGGAACATGAAGACTAATCTGCAGCTCAAGAGAAAGCTGCCTAACGTACGGGTTTAATCTGCAGGCTTTGTGACGGGTCTTTGAGACGGGGTTTTGTATGAACATGAAAATCAAACAAACATTAACGCTTCACTGGGACTGTAAAGATTCCTGTGGTGTCTTACATACCTTTTGTATGAGTTGGACTCTCGGCCTGAGGGACAGAGGAAGCAGAGCCACAATAAAAACAAGATCGTGTCTTAACGTCTTTTAGCCCTTTAAACAAACTGGTGGTAACAAATCAATCTGAGGTTTAGCTGGTGACATTTTGTTGGCATGCATTTACAAAAAGCCTTGTAGGGTAAACTAAACTAATTTGTGTTTTTATATAGATCTATTTGTGATGAAAAACTGTCCCGTCTTACTGGATCTGGAGGGGGAAGGTGAGTTGCTCTGTCGGCCATATTGTCTTTCCCATTCATCTCTCTCTTTTTCACGTCGCTCACGCTCCCTAAACACAAAACTTTTAGGTCAGAGAGCTGCAAGACACATGCACGCACACACAGTTACACACCAGAGTGTGCACATATGCACACTAGTGAGTACACATCATCACACACACATACTTCATACGGATCTTGCGTGCCATGGCTCGCAGCTCTCCCTCACGCTCCTGTAAAATTAACAAGCAATGAGGGGAAATGACGGGGAAGGGTTGGTTTCAGCATAGATTCTCGCACACACACACACACACACACACACACACACACACACACACACACACACACACACACACACACACACACACACACACACACACACACACACACACACACACACACACACACACACACACACACACACACACACACCTGCCGCTTGTGTTCCTGCTGCTGGATCTTCACCTGAGCAGCTTTTTTATCCGCCTTGGCTGCAGGTCAGGGGAAAAAGAAATCAAACAAGAAATTTAGAGAAAACCCGTGTTAGACCTTTAAAGTTTTGCATAGATTCACAAAAACCGTGCACAGCTTTTGAGAGACGTGCTCATTCAGGCATACTCACACTGCTTGTTGAGCGCCTTCTGCATTCGTAGCTTCAGCTTCTCCTGAGGCGTCAGCTTAGGCTGCAAGTGACAAATGATTTAGTGCAAGCTTCCAGAGTCCAAAGAAAAGTGTTTTGCATGTGTGTGTGTCTGTGTCTGTGCTATAAAACCAATTTTATACCATCACCTCTCTGTACAGTAGCTGGTGGAGATAAAAATGCAAGGGATACATTATTTACAAGTGTTGCTTGTTGAGTAAACACACACATAGGCTGTGTGTGTGTGTGTGTGTACAGTCGAAGGCTAGGATGCAGTCAGTTGGACACAATGTATTTACACACACACACACACACACACACACAGACACACACACACACACACACACACACACACACACACACACACACACACACACACACACACTACTGTCAGGGAGATAAAAGGAAGTAGAACGGCTGGAGGAGGAGAGAGGGTCAAAGTGAAACACGAGCAAGTTCAGGTCCAGCAAGTTTAGAGAAGTTCATAAAGAGCCAGTGGCGTTTCTAGTTCCGACACACCCATCGACGGGCTGTTCAGACCTGGCCAGGCAAGAAAAACTGCAGGTCACAACACTGCAGGCACACTCAGCACAGAGGAACAGCATAATTTCTGGGCTATTTATCCTTTTGACATTTTTTACAAACTGTTCCTTCTTTTCTTGGAAGTCAGTAGAGAACACGAGAGCAACCTTCAATATTACCTCTCTAAACATAAACACGTTTAACGTTGTTTTCCTGACCAATCCAGCTGACTGAGGTGAATTCTGATGCAAATCTGGGCTAAACTTCATTCTTAAGGGAGTTTTCCTCAAAGTTTTGTAAAACGTGTGTGAGCACCTCCTTTATTTACTCAATTTATTAAGATGAAGCATAAAACTTTAATAGATTATTGTTTAAAGTAGACTTTTCTTACAGAAAATCATCTACATCTGATAGCTGTAACCTAACATTTACACACCCCATTCTCTTACATAAGTGTTTTTACAGCACAGCACAGCACAAAACACACACACACACACACACACACACACACACACACACACACACACACACACACACAATAAAATAAGAAATCACAGAAAGCCTTGATGTTCATTTAATGAAGAAATGAATAAACTGATTCTGAAATTCTCACTATTTGCAAGAATAATGATAATTCAAAACAGCTGTTGGGCCTTAACACGAGGGTACGTCCACATTTGGTAAGGGGGGTGCAGTTATTTTGTCCGGAGGACAACAATGGCTTTTATATTCCAGTGTGATGGACAACCATGTCAGCCTGTCAAGGATGAGGGAGGCGTAGGCTTTAGAAAGAAACCAAGCAGGATCAAATTCTTACTGACTTTGGCAGCTCCCGTCTCTTTACCACCCGCAGTGTCAGGCCTGAGGAGACAGAGGACACGTTATGATGAGGAGGACGTCCTCTTTTATAGGTCATCGTTAACTATTCAACACACCTGAGGAAGAGTATGGTGGGTTGAGAACAATATGAACTGCCCATTTTTCTGATTGCTTACTTTCTCAGCTTGTCAGAGACACAGTTGGCAGCAGGCTGGGACCCTCGGTGGAGGGGAGAAGGACTGTGTCGTGGACGACTGGAAGAACGAGAGGGACTGCGGCTGTCACTTTCCCTCCGACGGCGTACTCCGGTGCTCCGACCTCTGTGCCTGGAACTACTGCACTGCCGCGAGCTGGAGCGGGACCTGGAATAAAGGAAAAGGCTTCGTTAACGGATGTGTTCATGAATTAACAACAATCGTGATTTCGTGATGACAATAATCCCACCTCGTTCGTCTGCGTGCTGAATATCGCCTTCTGTCCCGGTCTCTGTCTCTGTCCCTAGCTCTGTCTCTGTCATTGGATCGTGACCTTGTGCGGTCGCGTCTCCTCCAGGATCCTCCTCTACCTCTGGAGCGAGATCTGGAACGCCGCCTGGACCGTGAGTGACTCAAAGAGCGGCGCCCATCCCGTCTCCCATTCCCTCGCCGGGCTCGCCGCGAGTGGGACGATGACCGAGATGATGACCGAGACGAGGAGCGAGAGGAGGAGGAAGGGGAGTGGCTGGAGGACGACCTGCGTCTCCTGAACAAATGCAGAAACAAGAGAATCAGTAATAATTCCAGGCTAACGCCTAGCCTGTCTTCACAACACTTTGATCTGAAACCATACAAACGTTTCTGTTTTACCTGAACCTATTCTAACCTTTGCTGTGACACAGGTCTTCTCTCATTCACCCTGTCTGCTTCTCAGCAGCAGCTCCTCACTAACAGCTACTCTGAAATCTGGTCCACCCTCACCAGTAATCTGTTTGCTCTGATCAAGGACATGTACATAATGCAAAAGAAAGGGGAAAAAAAAGGTGAGAAGAGGGAAAGTTACCGACCGGGAGCCTCTGCTATGACCTGCAGAGTGCTGCAAGCTGGAGGGGGCGTGGCCAGAGTGAGGAGCAGCAGCTTGTGTCGCTGCTGCAGCTTCATCGTCGCTGCCCCCGAAGCTGGTGATAAATGTGATCTTCTCAGGACCCGGAGTGCGGGATCGAGACCGAGACTCGGAGCTGGACTCAGATTCTGGCCTGAAGCAGATCAGGGACATCAGAAATTTTAGTTTCATCACAAACACAAGTAACCAGAAAATTAAATGTCAGTTAGCTCACCGTTTGTATGGATCGTATGTGGGACTGTCTCTTCTGGCATAGCTGAAATAAAACCAGGTGACTAAATAAATACAGATGTCTTGTTGCGATTAAATCATCCTAATATTTTTAAACCTGTTGACTCACCTTGGTGGGCTGATCTGTCTGCCTTTTAACCTCTTTTCCCTAAACTCCCTCCTCTGTCTGCGAGAGCGACGGCCCTGAAACAAAGTTAAGGTAAATGAAAAATCTGCACGTAAAAGAAAAAAACCTAATTTATTTAAACAATTTAATCTTACAGAGTACATGGCCTTCTCTGCCTCCAAAGCTTTGGCGTGCTTAATGGCCTCCACTTCCTCCTTGTCTTTCTTCAACATCCTGACAAAAAACAATCAAAAAATTAAACGCAAACTCTTATTTTACCTTCAAAATAAAAGAACATTTAGAGGGATACGCCTGCCCCCTACACACACACACACGCGCGAGAAAAAAGTCCTCACAAATTTATGAGTCCGCTGATGGCTTACCTGACAAAGTCGCCTTCAGCCATTCCATATGGAGTAGCCATTTTGTTCAGGTCCAACAGCTGCTCTGGGGTTAGCTCATCAACATCGACCTCAACGTCTGCACATAACAATATTTACAACATGACATATTTTGCAAAAAAGTTCAATTATCTAGAAAAGTACATAAAAATTTCACTACATACATCCTCATCAAACCCAACAGTGACTTATGTCACGATTTCTGCTGAGATTATATACACATAGATGCATTTTAAATAGGGCTGCACAATATATTGCAAACATATTGTTATTGCGATATCAGCAATGCGCAATATGCATATCGCAAAGAACAGATAAATATCGCAATGAATGCTCAGCTCAAATGCTTGCTACACATAATGCATTCTGTCAATCAAACGAAAGCATGATGTTTTTTAACAAATCAAATAGAGCTCTTCACCCATTTGGCCAAGTGGGTGGCCGAGGCAGACGGCACTTAATTTAGATGGTTGGCAAACACCTGAGTTAGCTTTGTTGTGTTCTTTATGCTGATTCTGCTTTTCCCAGATCCACTGATTGCCTTTTCCAGGGTATCTGCAGGTTTAAGGGAGTCAAATTTAAGACCTTTATTAAGGCCACTTTGACCAAATTGAAGCTATTTTTAAATTAAATTTCAGCTTTAATTTCCAGCTATTGCCTGGAACCGGTGCCAACCACGTCGTGAACGCGGGATTAGCCATCCAGTTACCATTAAACTTGCACTTCCCCATGGCGCAAGCTCCCACTAATTCCATCTTTTAGTTCTTTTTAAAACACAGGAAGGTTTTTATTTACCTGCAACGTTTCGTCAGCTTGACGAAGTTTGCAGCCGCAAACGAAACGCTGCAGATAAATAAAAACCTTCCTGTGTTTTAAAAATAACTAAAGATGGAATTAGAATTTCAACACAGCAAGAACACACCAAAGAAGCTCCCACTAGCTTAACCAGCTAATGTGCTCATCTAAAAATAGCCCCCTTTCACAACCAACTGAATGTGTACGGTTACGCTTACTGCAACATCATGCACAAAAAATGCTGAACGCAAACTAGAAATTCACGAAAATTTTATAGAAATAAAAGAATTTAGTTTATTGCGTCTTTGGTAATTTAAGACCGTTGGAAACTGTATTTAAGGATTATTGGTCATTTATAAGGACTTTTAAGGCCTTAAATTTGGAAAAGCTTATTTAAGACTTTTTAAGGACCCGCGGACACCCTGTTTTCTTGTTCATTTTCTTTTTCCCTTTCCTCACATCTTTAGCTTTTCTCTTTTTTTTTGGTCATTTTTATCTCTTTGTTTTTGATTGGTTTTTTCCTGAGTTAAGTCTTTATTTATCGCAAGTAATATCGTCATTGCAATATTAATCACTGTTATCGCATATTGCAGGTTTTCCTATTACCGTGCAGCCCTATTTTTAACTGAAAATCTTTATAAAACATTTCCCATATTCAGAAGAATCTGAAACCAGTAGGGATGCAACGGATCAAAAAATCCTCACAGACTGGAATATTTTTCAGATCATCAGAAAGAATAGAAAAAGAAAATACCGTAAATCCTCTAATACAGGCCCGGGCCTGTATTTTACTCAAGCTCATCAAGCTCCAGGCCTTTATTGGAAGGAGGACCAGAATTAGAGGCAGGCCTCAATTTCTATTTGAGCAAAATGAACTAATGGTTCGCTGGAGTTTTTGACAATTAAAATTGCGCCCACATTTTCAAAGTTAAACACATTTCTTTTAACAACGGTAGTTTCTGCTTCAGCCATCTCCCCCCTCCCCCTGTGCAGCGGCCGCAAACTCACTGATGCGCCTGCAGCCTCTCGGAGTTCCTACTGCTCTAAACATTAAAATAATTATTTCATTTTCTGTTCCTCACTTCTGATTACCTTCAATGGTGTCTGTTTGTTGCAACCACCAGGTACAAAAACTAACTTGTTTTTATTTGACTATTTTTCTGTCCTGTCTGTTTATTATCTTCCTGCATCTCCTCTCAATCCTAAAGAAAAACTCCTACCTGGGTTCATATATATTCACCTTATGAGTTACCTTTGAACTGCAGTTCTAAAAGATCTACCGACCGCAAAAACAGTGGAGTGCTCGCCAGCCACATCAGTTAGGTGTGTCACCGAGGACAAAACAGGTGATGCGCCCCGATCCACAGCAGCGAAACGCATCAGGCACAAATAAAAGAATAAAAGACAGAAAAGATAAAAGGAAATGAGCCGACATGAACGATCGCGTGTTAAATTAGTTTTTGAGGTGGCGACACCTGATTTGATAATGTTACTGTGGCCGTGCTCAGGACGCAGATGTCTGGAGCGCGTCAACAATCAGAGCTTTGCATGCACAAGCTGGTTAAGGTTAGGATGGCGGTGAGGGGAAGGTTAAATTGCAAGAGGGTAAACGTCACAATTTGGTTAAATGTCCGTTTTACGGCGGGTGTCAGTACCGACGCTCTGGCACAGTGTGTTGCCTCCCGACGCGCAGGAACTTGTCACCTGCCGACAGCAGGCTGCTGTCTTTTCCGAGGACTGCATCTTGCCAGTCATTATCACGTGACAGTGACTAGTCGATGACAGGCATAAAAAGTCACTATAGAGCGGTGAAGTCGACTAGTGACTAGTTCATACAACCCCTGCTACTGCTCCCCAGAGTGTTCTGCAGCATAATCAGCACGTTCTCTTTGAACTTGATATCAAATTTTCGCCTCCTCTTCGTCCCTGCATGGTTAAAGTTACCCTCGTGGTCTATCACTGGCAAATCAAAAGTGAGACGGATGACACAACCGCCCTGTACTTGCTTGTTACCACATTCCACCCGGCCACAATAAAAAAACGGCCATTATTCACCTCCGCCGACTCCGACCAAAATATGAGACCCGGCAGTTAATTAAATACAGGCTAATATTAGAGGATTTATGGTACAAATAGCTTTACTCTCTCTTTAAAACATGGAACACTTGGTGCAACATTTTTCAGCTCAATTTGCAACTTGTTATAAAAATAAGAATCATAGAGGTCTGATTGCTGATTAAATAATAAAATGGCTAGCCATAAATAGCTCACTTCCTGTGTGTCCAGCTTTCACTCATTTCCTCACCTTTCTGAAGCTTTGTTTACTTTTCCTCCTCTTTTACAGACTTGTCCCCAACAATATTTCAGGTCCCACCATGTTAATGTAATACCGTAAATCCTCCAATACAGGCCGGTATTCAATTAAAGGCCGGGTCTCCAATTGTGGCCGGTGTCAAAGTCAGTTGAGGTAAATATTGGCCGGTCTCTTATTGTGGCCGGGTGGAATGTAGTAACAAGCAAGTATGAGCGTCCCAGCGGCAGGGTTATAGTCCCCAAATCAACCAGCAGGAGGCAGTAGAGGTTCAAGCAGACCTTTATTAGGCTTTTTCTTCAACGCTTTGTAACGCTACAGACACGATCCTCTATCACGCTCCTACCACACAGAGTCACGGTGTCAGTTAACCATGCTAATTCAACCCACTCCACAGAACACACATCAACTTCCCTGTGGCTTACATAACACTCCCACAACACGCAAATCAGCACATAGGAACTAGCAGAACGATAGGAAACACATATAACACAATACCCAGAATGCACCTGGCTTACAACCCCAGCCAGGTCATTACACTATCAAGTTCAAAGAGAACGTGCTGATTATGCTGCAGAACACTCTGGAGAGCAGCAGTAGGGGGTGTATGAACTAGTCAACTTCACTATAGTGACTTTTTATGCCTGTCGTCGACTAGTCGCTGTCACGTGATAATGACCGGCAAGATGCAGCCCTCGGAAAAGACAGCAGTCTGCTGTCAGCAGGTGACAAGCTCCTGCGCTCGGGGGTGGGGGCAACGCGCTGTGCCAGACCGTAGGTACTGACACGCGATCGTTCATGTTGGTTCATTTCCTTTAATGTTTTCTGTCTTTTATTTGCGCCTGATGCGTTTGCTGCATGCTGTGGAGCGGGGCGCTGCGCGCATCACCTTGTCCTCCGACGCACTGATCACTGATACGGCCGACAAACAGCGAGCACTCCGCTGTTTTTGCGGTCGGTAGATCTTTTAGAACTGCAGTTCAAAGGTAACTCATGAGGTGGATATATATGAACCCAGGTAGCAGTTTTTCTTTAGGATTGAGAGGAGATGCAGGAAGATAATAAACAGACAGGACAGAAAAATAGTCAAATAAAAACAAGTTAGTTTTTGTACCTGCTGTTGCAACAAACAGCCACCATTGATGGTCATCAGAAGTGAGGAACAGAAAATGAAATAATTATTTTAATGTTTAGAGCAGCAGGAACTCCCGAGAGGCTGCAGGCGCATCAGTGAGTTTGCGGCCGCTGCGCAGGGGGAGGGGGGAGAGGGCTAAAGCAGGGGGAGGGGGGAGAGGGCTAAAGCAGGGGGAGGGGGGAGAGGGCTAAAGCAGGGGGAGGGGGGAGATGGCTGAAGCAGAAACTACCGTTGTTAAAAGAAATGTGTTTAACTTTGAAAATGTGGGCGCAATTTTAATTGTCAAAAACTCCAAGGAACATTAGTTCATTTTGCTCAAATGGAAATAGAGGCCTGCCTCTAATACTGGCCCTCCTTCCAATAAAGGCCTGGAGCTTGATGAGCTTGAGTCAAATAGAGGCCCGGGCCTGTATTAGAGGATTTACGGTAAATGTCCCAGGTATTTTGCGTGCAATTTTTCCTCACCAATATCAGGAATGCCTTCGTCCTCTTCGGATTCACTGTTCTCCGAGTTATCTTCATCTTTATCTGACTGGGAGTGCGGCTCCAGCACCGTGCTGTCTTCATACGTGTAACCGATGGCAACCTTTTTCTCTGCAAGTCTGCAAAACAAGGGAGAGGATTTGTGAATGAAAGAGCAGCTCACATTACACAGCAAATAACGACAACATTAAAAAACAAAGATTATGAAACCACTTTAACATTTACTTACTTCTTCTTCTCTTCCTCATTTGGCTTCGACAGGCCACCGTAGAGCTCGTCCAGGTAAATCTGGTACAAACACTGCTCCTCCGAGACTGCAGAAAGACATCAGAGGGTTAAAAGGCAGAACACAACAGCAGAATATTCCCACTGAGAGCAAATTAAGTCACCAATAATCGCCAAATCTGCAAATGTACAGATCTGTATGCTTGCACTAAAAATAAAACTGGAATTCTGACAAGTAAATACTCACTGGTGGCAAAGTCGTTTTGTACTAGGCCCCTGTAGCGCTCATAATTACACTTCCTCTCCTCCATGTCCTGCTCTGGGGTGCTGTATGAAAAAAGGAGATGATTAGATTTTTATTTTGGAAAAGAAATAGTATCATAAAAGTAACAAAACCTGAAATTAAAGGTCTCGTTGTTCTGTCACAACACTTTAAATAAACTAATATAAGAGGAAAGGAGGCATTTTTCTTCCATAATGTCCACCAAACAGGCTCACACTGTTTAAATGTAACGTGGGTAAAAAAGTCTTTCAGACACTTACGATGTGCTGAGCAGAGGAGGGGTGTAAGTTGGGATGTAGTCCAGGTGAGCCCTCACATCAAACCTGTCAATCATGTTGTTGGCATCTCCTTGCCAAGGCATCCTTTAAACAGAACAGAGGAGGGAGGCTTATCATCACATTCTCAGTGCTGTGGTTTTAAGTCCATGCAGATGATTCTTCTCACATGTTTGCTGGGCTCTCTGCAGCCAGCGCCACCGCAGGATCCAAGTGGATCTTGTAGGCTCGGCTGTGAACTTGGAGGAACTGAGCCGGATCTTTTTTCTGTTAGGAAACAACAAGAGCCGGTTAAACACAACAAATTATCACACTAAAGACTGATCATTAAAAGATAAGTATATTTAAACAAAATATGTGTTATGTGTTGCTCAGCTAGATGACAAAATCTCTCACGATCTTCTCATAGTACTCCCTCCGGCGCTCTCCGCGGCGTTTGTAGTCCACCATCATGCCACGGAGCTTGCGCTCATGTTTGCGGGCCTCCTGCCACATGACGGCACCGCTGGGGGTGGGAGCGCGTCTAGGCACGGCTGCTGCTCAGGGGTGAACGGGAAGCAACACAAAAAAGAGCAATTAGGGATATACGTTATATCGGCATCGGTCAATGTTCGTCATTTTTGAACATAACGCATCGGTCTGATATGTGAAACTGGACTGATATTCACAAACAGTAGGCCTGGGACAATAACAAATTTTGCTGCATGATATATTGTCCAAAAAATTATTGACGATAAACGATAATATTGTCGACATTATTGAGACAAAAAAAAAACACTTATGTAATGTAAATATCATAATAATGCAAGTACACACTTTAAAATGCAACAATTAAACCTTTATTTAACACAGGAAAGTCCAGAACCAAAACTTCTAAATAAAACAAACAAACAAAAAATAAATAAATGAAAAAGGATTTTCAATCTTTGTTAAAAAATATTGCACCAATAACAATAAAATAGACCCTGTCTCTCCAAAACAATAAATACAATGGCCTATCCAGTGCCAAAAACCAAAACTGCACTTCAATAATGATAATAAATAAAGATAATAATAATAACAGAGTTGTACATTTCTTAGCCTTGATATATTGATGCTGGAAATATTTAGTACATTTTCATCTATCATACGATTAATTGATTTATTGATTATCGTCCCAGCCCAAACAAACAGTATTTTTTTTCCCATCTAGTAGCCATTTGTGTATCAGTTTCAGAAGGGGGGGGGGGGGGGGGGGGGGGGGGGGGGGATGCATAACGGTTTGGTGATATGACAGTGACACTCATCTCAGAAGCGTAAATGTGTGTGGTGAGTATATAACAGGGACTGAAGCAAAAAATTCTCATCTGACTGGAAATTATTGGTAGGGGGGCTCACATTGTTTACACGTGGCCACTATTCAGGTTTTGATTGATTTTAAGGTCAGTATTCTTGTTTCTGAAAATTTTGGAATAGCCCGTTCACATACACAGTGTTTAAAAGTGTGGGTGTTGAGATTTCTCCGAGGTAAAAAAGATGACAAGTATTAAAGTACTCTAGGGGAGTCCTGCGGCACGCCCCCCCCCCCCCCCCCCCCCCCCCGGAAAAAAAAATTATTGGACATTTTATATTTAAACGCATCAGTCTGGTGCATTTTTGGGGGGAAAAGTAGAGTTACAGGCTGTTAGGTATGTATGATAAAGTGTCTATACATGTTCATTATAATGATATATTTGAGTTAACAATGTTTTCCTGTTCTTTCTAAATCCATTATGAACACAGACTACAGTGAAATCCGCTGATGCATCATGCTGCTCAGTACCAGAACTGCACACCAGAAGAACCAATCAGCTGGCAAAGCTCCATGTTGAACGTGTGAGTTGCAGGGCTTTAGGCCCAGGGCAGAGTTTTATACCTCAGACCAGCTTTAGATCATGACCTGTTATTAATAATATGTTCTTTACACCAGTCTGAATATTCTGTAATGTTCACAGACATCCAAACCTTAGAAATGAAATAGTTATCTGTTATACTTATTTACATTTGATAGTAATATGATTAATAATATTTAATCTTATCTTCTATCATTTGTGGGTTTAGTGCATTCACTTAATATTAATTATAAAATTATAAAAACAGGTCACTACAGTCTGGGCATAGAAAGTGTTTCTAGGAACTAACGCTTGTTCAGCAGCTCGCCTGTTCCACTGACAAGAGAAATCCTCTCATCAGCAGGTGATCAGCAGAGTGTCATGACTGAACACAGGCCCGAAAAAAACAAAGACGACTAAAAACACAGACCACAGATCGGCCCACCGGGAATTTGGGTCCTGGTTCTGCTCATCATGTTGGCTCTGTTAGAATCCCAGCGCCTGGTGCGAGTGCAGTTTGTGTTTGTGCGCACCGAGGGAGCGAGCAATGAGCGTGCGCGTTTTTGCAGCTTAGGCAGCGCAGAACGGTGGAGAAACGCGTTTCAACAACACCGGTGTGCGTTTCAATTAGCAAGAGGAGAGCGCTAGAGAGAGAGAGAGAGAGCGACACTACAAAACCCAAGTGAGCACGAGAAGACTTTGACAGAACTTTTTTCTGATTATTCCAACTGACGGATTTCCGTCGCCACGACGGAGAACTTTGATCCCTGGTTTATAATAATAATAACATATTATATTACAATACAATATCTTTAAATATCAAATGCCAAATAATAATAATAATAATACATCAAACTTATATAGCGCTTGTTTAGGACACTCAAAGATGCTTGCATGCACTCTCACATTCACACACTGCCAATGATGGTAAGCTACTTTGTAGCCACAGCCACCCTGGGGAGGTCTGACAGAGGCGAGGCTTCCATTTGGCGCCGTCTGCCCCTCCGACCACCACCAACACAGGCAAGTTGGGTGAAGTGTCTTGCCCAAGGACACAACAGCAGAATACCCCTGCAAGAGCTGACCCTCCGATCATGAGGCAACCCGCTCTACCTCCTGAGCTACTGCTGCCCTGAAATGAATACTTGTCATTTATTGACTGAACTTAACTGAAAAACTCAGACTAGATGCCTCCAAGTGTGTCAACTGTTATTGCAAGATTTTGTTGCTCTGTCAGAGTGAAGGCGGTAAAAACTGCTGCCACCTAGCAGTTGGGGTTTGACTAGCACCACACAAATGAGCTATAGTATAAGTTTCATTGAAAATTCTCAATAAAAATTTGATACACTACTTTTAAATATTGATTCAGTATCATTACACAAAATTTCAATGTATTGATAGTTCCTTACATTCCTTCTTATATTAATGTAATATCAATAAATATTGGTTATCGGGTATAACAGTGATAATATCGGATATCGATATCACCCCACATTTTCAAATCAGTGCATCCCTAGTTTTAATGCAGATAATGATCAAATTATAAACTGCTGAGAAAAATAACATTTTTAGTATTTCTAATAAACATTTTAGAACGCACTGACAGAAAACAAACATTTATTGGATATAAAAATGCTGTTTCTTGTAGGTTTGTAATAAAAAAAAATTACATTTCTGCTTTCTAGAATAACTTTTTCTCTTCCAGGATTCTTCATATTCTAGAGCCAATTTGAGTTTGCAGGTCAGATCTGAGACTAGGACACAAAACGGTATTTAAGAACAAAAACATGAAGAACTAATAAACAAATGTGTTACTTGTGTTATCTACAATGTACTTGGATCTTTCCACGTGTTTAAACGATTTAAGAACGAGGCTCAATTATCAAACACTGTTCAAAAATAATAAATCTATTAAATATGCAGAACTAGTCACTAGTACCAGCAGCTGACAGCTCTGATTTATCTTTGCAGACGGTTGTTTTAAGCTGTAGCTGTTTTTCTAAACGAAGTTTGTTTCCAAAAAATGTCCTGTTAATTATAACCTTAATCCCACAGCTGCATACATAGTTAATAACATTTGAATAAGTGAAATTATGTAAGTCGTTTAGCAAATGCAAATGGCATTCAGGAGCTAGCATGATAGCTAATTACCCAATATCTACGTTGTCAAGCTACTTCTAGTTAATCATTCAAATGTCTGATTTGTGGAATAACTGTACAACTATCGGCCTTATATAATGTTAAATATGGTAGTTTATAAAGTGTGCGTGGCATTTATTAACCAACACATGGCTCCAGGCTCATTGCGCATACAGGCCCGTTAGCATCAACGCTAGCTCTGCTAATCCACTCTGCACAAACGCCAGGACCACAGTGACTCACGGCCTGGCCACGCGAACGAAATATCACAGACAACTGTAAAAAGCAAATGCATTTCTATTCGTACCTGTTTTATTGTCCACCAACACAAATAAACGGGGTTTCGTCAGCAAAGAGCTAACGTTGCAGCGTAGCGAACTCACGCCTCCTTGTCGCTTTCCCTCTCTCTCTCTTTTCCCCCGTGTGCAGATACGCAGTACCAGCAACGACCACCGGGGGCGCTGTAGATAAACACAAAACTATGAATCTGCAAAGTGTTTAACTTAAATATACATATAAAATAAAAGATGCGTTAGATAAATAATGCCTTATGTGGAGATCAGTGCACCATATTAAACTGAGAAAGCTAACTAATTGTATGAGTATAAATGCTAGTACTACACAAGCACTGATAAATAACTTCCAGTTTACTAGTAATACGGTAATAATTCAAATGACATTAGTTGTTAACAAGTTTACTCCAGACTTGAAAATAATCGCTAAATTATTCAGACCCATAAAAAAAACAATAAACTTATAATGGGGCTATATATGGGCTATTTTTATGTGTTTTCTGTCTCATGATCATGATTAAAGTTATTATTCAGATCATTTTTAGGCTTATTTTCGCTTTAAAGGTTTTGGTTATAAAAATGAACACAGTCAACATTCAAACCATCGGAATTTGAATGATGTAACACTTCAAACCCTCATATCATCACAATATTCTGTGCAATATGAATAGAATCTATGTCCACATACCTGCAACATGATATTTTGTTCACATGTTTTGATATATTACTTTTAATGTATGTACTCACTTGTTTTTAAGATGTATGAACAGAGCTGTTGATGATCTTTGTACAATAACGTTTTGTAACAAAGATCAAAGCTTCACCGAGAGTGCCATATGTTGTCGTGGCCACTAGATGTCTCTGTAAGACAGCTGATGAATCTGCCATCAGACCAAAAACAGGGTGTGGAGAGAGTAAAACAGCAAATGGAGCAGTTTTAAGCTTCTGTCTGTTTTAAATATTGACACATACAAATATAACTTATAAGCTTCATTACGTGAACATAGGAAGCTCTAAATACATCACTTACAACAGCTGGAATAAAAAAGGTTAAAATGATACTAAAAGGATTTTGGACTCAGAGGCACCTCTTGACCTAATGCAAACCTTCTAATCTACAGGCTGGGTTCTGACTTCCTGTGGTACACAGCAGGTAAGAAGAGCATTTAGCACTCACCATATCTGTACATACATGTGTGCTTAAACTCTGTTTCCTACATTTCCTCCTGTCCAGCACGGTGACAGGAAGCCTGTGTTAGTTTCTAGTCTGCCTCTGTTTTCTGGGGACAAAGGTCATATTTGCCACATTCATTTGAAAATTAAACGTCTCTGCTGTTGCCGACTCTCACTTTTTGTTTTCACACACATTCTCTTATAATCCAAGCAGCACTTGTGCAGAGCTGACTGGAAAATTTACAATAAGCACAATATTTAAAATGTACGATAAGCTTAAGTTAATCAGAAGTACTGGGATGTCTCAGAGACAAATAAATAAATAAAAATACATGTATATCCCATGATATCCTCATGTCACTGTTTTCACTTGTTTGATCCTTACTTGACAGCACTTATTCTTTTTCAGGGCAGAGGTTATCCAGCTTACTGAGACAGTACTGACACCTTCAACATGCAAAAAGAAGTAACGCTGAGTTGGTAAATGCATTTTTATTACAATGCACATGTGCAGATTCCTCCAAATGGAAAGTGAAAAGGTACAAACAAAGCAAAGTAATACAGTCATACTTCCATATTGGACCACGGTACAAAAAGAGCATCAATATGTACAAGCTATTTATGTACAAAAAAGCAATTTTACATGCAGGTATGAAAAGACAACATCATACATCTTTGACAAACTGCAGTATTACACAAACAATACAGGCAACAGTGTGTAGTTTAAAAACAGACTGCCCGAAAGCTTTTAATTGTGGAGCAGAATCTCCTTTCAACTTTATTTTATTTAAGTAACAAGTTTCTTCCCTTCTTTCCCCCACATGCACTCATAATTTACATTCTTACATTCACACTCACGCACACTCACAAACACACAAAGATCACTTAGTGCTAAACAGGCATCCATTCACTGATGTTTCTGTTAGTCATAGTTCCATCAGAAACACTAATGATGGGAGTTCTGCACACTGGAGCTGGACACACATTGAAGGACCCCTGCAGAGCTTAGTTGCAGCCCCCCCCCCCCAAGCCAAGGCATGCCTTCAAATGCTCTGATTAAATCTTTCAGTTCTTCTTCATACGGCTACCAAAATTCGCCCAACGATGATGACACAGTCAGATTTTAGCAGCATTTGTTCCTCGAGTGTCAGCTGGTGATCATCTGAGCTAATGAAGGTCTTCCCAGTGATCATACCCGCAACTCTGACATAATAGCCAGATATGAAGACTGTCAACAGAAAAGTGCTAAAAACTCAAAATAAATTCAGCAAGGCTCCCGAGGGACTGAGAAGTCCAAAGAGTAGTCAAACTTCTAGTTCCTGATTGTCTGTGTAGTGAAAACGGTTCAGTTTCTCCCTTTCTCGGTTTGAAATGTCTTGTTTGGGGGCATGTGCTGGCTTCAGTGCAGGGGAGGAGTGTGAGGGAGCCGGGGAAGGCGGCAGGGTCAGTTCAATCTCCTCAAAGCAACGTGAGACCGGGGTGGGGGCTGATGGGTGAGTGAGGGGCACTGCTACAGGCAGAGGGGGAACAGGACGCTCCACATTCCTGATCAGGTTGACAAACTCCCTCTGGTTGTTGATGCCTTCTTCCTGCGGGACCGCCTGCTGCATTTTCCTCTTCCGATGAAGGTGGGAAAGGATGACCAGACAGACGATGCAGCCACAGATGGTCAGGAGGGCTAAGATTCCCACCAGGATCATGTAGAAGCTGAGACCCCAGTGTGTGGCGTCAGACATGGCACCTTCAGCTGAGCCACAGGGGTCAGACAAGACTTCATACAGAATTTGACTTTTTATTTAAAAAATAGTCGTTTTTCTTACCTGAACAATGTTGACCAATGCAAGGACTTCTGAGGCTCACACAGTCGTTGCCATAGTAACCATCGGGACATGCACATTTGTATGAGTCTTCTGTGATGTGACACTGCATCCCCTGCTGGCAGGGGTTGGGATCGCACAGATCTGAAGCTATCTAAAGAACAGATAAGATAAAGTGTTACATATATATATATATATATATATATATATATATATATATATATATATGTGTGTGTGTGTGTGTGTGTGTGTGTGTGTGTGTATATAAACTGTAGATATTTTAATGGATTAGTTACATTTGTGTAATTAATTATAAAATTATTTTCATATTACAAAATGTTAAGTTTTAGGAGAGCAGCATTTGGCAATTGGCAATTATTTGTTACCAATTATTGCATATATTATTGTTTTTAAACATGTGTATTAACAACAAAATAATTGAGAATTAGCGATTTAGTTGCACCCACTTTTAATCCTTGTTTCCCTTTGACCCTCAAGGGGCTGGCTGAGGTGAGACATTGCTGGCCTGCCCCCCCCCCCCCCCCCCCCCCCCCCCGCAAGACCTCCGATCTTGTCCGTGTTAACGCAAGCCATTTAATCAAGCCATTTATCTAAAATCCTATCAATGAAAACATTTTTGTGGATGTGTTTGTGTTGTTTTTCTGATTCCATTCTTTTTGGTTGTTTTTCTACACACTGAGTGGTAGAATTTGTTTTTACCTTCTCGCTTTGGCTACAGCCGTCACCTTCGTCAGAGCAGTTCCAATGGTGGTGGCTTGACTTGCGTCCCGATTAATCTGCAGGTATTAGAGGACGATGTCACCCTCTGCTGCCACCAGCATCGACGATGCTCTAACGAAGACGACAGCTGTAGCTAGAAGGTAAAAACTAACTACTTCTATGAACAAGAACAAAAAAAAAATGGTTTTTGTTAAGCAGTTAAAAAAATGATTAAACAAAATGTTGAAATGAAAATAACTGAAATAATCGCTGATTAATCATTTGGTGTGCCACCCCAAAATTTTCACTGGCCCCCCTGTGAACATTTTCTGGGGGCGTCACTGCCCCTCAAACAAAATAATCTGGATTAATTACATTTATAATTCTCCTACCTCACAGAGGAGTCCTGAATATCCCTCTGAACAGTTACAGACGACCGTCCTTCCGTTCTTCTCCACACACTGTCCTCCATGGAGACACAGGGAGCTGTCACATGGACTCAAACCATTCTGGCAAAACTTCCCAGAGAATCCGGTTGGACACAGGCATCGCGGCCCTGACAACTGGTCCTGTTTAGAACGAGATTTAGATTCACAATTTAATTTATTAGGATTAAACATGCGGGCACTGAAGAGGAGGTGAGACATCATTTTTCTGACACAAGCACTTACAGGTCTGAGTCTTTTCAGATAAAAAAACAGCAAAGACGTTTTATTTACTCTCACCTCACAGCGTCCGCCATTCAAACACATGCCCTGACAGCTGCTGTTCCCTGGAAATAAAAAACAAACAAGAATCATTAATCTGTCACAATAAAAGTAGTTTTTAAGAAAACCAGAAGAAAAGAACAATGACTGATCCCCCTCATCATTTAGAGCTTTCTTCAGGTTTTTACTTTGTGAGAAATGTTTGAAGGAGTAAAATGATCTCCTGTCTCCAGTGTTTCAAGGCTATTCGTGTTTCTCTACCAGCCACAGGACAATTATTCTCTTGTCTGTTTCAGCTCGTTTCTTTTCTTTTTGTTCACTTTTTTCTTTTCTTTTCTTTTCCTTTTGTCCTTACTGATGTCACAGTTCGAGCCGGTCCATCCAGGGAGGCAATCACACAGGTATCCACCGATCAGGTTACGACAGGAGCGGGCGTGGACACATATACTCGTTTCACACTCATTAGCATCTAGAAAAACAGGGTAAAAGAGAAGAAAACTTCTAAAAATAAAGGTAATAAATAGGGGAAATAGAACAATTAATATTATTAATAATTTATGCAATTTTATTGTTGTTTTAGATGCAAATACTGGAATTTTTTTGTGTTTTTTGTTACTTTTAAATAAAAAAAACATGGCATACACAAGCTTATGTAGGATCTTTTTTCATTTAAAGCAGTTCAATGTAAATTATTTAGAGTTTAGTTGATTGGACAGAAAAACAGAGTCATTATTCATTAATTTTATTAATATTTAAAATAGATATTTGCAGATTTTTTAGGTTCTTCCAAAAATGCTGAGAGGAAACTAAACAGAAAAATTGAGCGATACTGATAATAAGGTGAGATAATAAAAACTTATTATTTAGATGCTGCTTCCATTTTGGGGTTTTGTGAATAATTAATAACCCATGCCTTGTGTATGTTTTTACAAGGTGTATGTAAGAGCCAATATTGTTTTGGTTTAGATTATATTATGGTCTAAGTTAGTTTTGATAATGTTATGTATATTTCAGTTTATTGCACTATGGTTTGTATTTCCTTTAACCACTGGTGGCACTGTGGAGCCTACTTAGGTGTCGAGGCGGCAGTGCACTGGTTTTTGGGTGACGGGAGGTCACACGGTTTTTACCGCTTCAGTTGGTTTCATTCCACAACTAATTTGCCGTTGTAATTTCATCATTTTCATAACCTTGACAAGATAACGCCATTCTGGAACCTGCATAATTGTGATAGTCAACATCTTCAATAAACGGGATGATAAACCCAAACCCGCTTTCTGCCTGGACAATAGTGTTGAAGCGAGTATTTGCCTCCACCCGCACCCAAGGGTGACTAAAAGTGGGACTTGATTGTCACTACAGTGTAGAAAAGAAATAAACCCAAACCCTTTGTCATGTTCTGTGTCCCTGTGGTTCCATCCCCTTCCATGTTCCCTCTAGTCACTCCATTAGATGTCCCATCACGTTTATTGTTAGTCTCCTCAGTAATAGACTCCCCCCTTTCTTGGTTCCTGTCCCTCTAGTTTCCCAAGTTAAAGATTTAGTATTTCTTGTGTCTCTGATTTCAGGTTTATTAGTTCACTCATATTTAGTCCTCTGTATGTTTATGTAACGTTAGTATCTGCCTTCAGTATATTGTGTTTCTTGCCCACTTAGTTAATTAGTCTCTTCTGCCTCCCATCAGCTTACACGCCCCTCACACCTGCTCCCTGTTTCCCTGATCACTGCCCTGTGTATGTCAGTTTGTTGTGGCAGGATGTTTTTAAGCCCTGTGCATCCCAGTTTTTGAGTTTCCAGCTTTCATGTCTCTTGTTTTGTGAGTTTGGCCTCCTGTGATGCATTTGGAGTGGGCTTCCTGTTTTTTGAGCCGTTGGATTTTGTTTTTATGCCCCTTAAAATAAAGGATTTGTTTTCCCCACACCTCATCTCTCCATGTCTTTCTGGGTTCCTGCACATTGGGTCCAACCTCCCCTCAACGTGACTCCCTTAGGCTAAATCCTGGTCTTGTTGCAAATCTCAAAGTCGAATGCTAAATAAACTCCTCAGAGAAATGAGATATGTCTTTAATGATTTTATCTGACTGAATTTGATCCCAGTTGTCTCCCACTGATGCTCAACTGGATCATGAAAGGTTGGAGGTCAAATATGCACAAATCTCCACAGGACTCGGAGACCACAGAAATTCATTAAAAAAATAAATACATGAAACTATTCAAATTGAATGAAAATGACTAAATTAATGTTTGTTGAGGCAATACAACAAGGTATACAAGTCATAAAAAGGGTCTCATCTGCAGTACCTGGATTTTATGGGTTTGTTTCTAGTTTAATGGTGTTGAAGATGAATATCTGCCCTTTATCAGCAAAAAGATCTGGACCACTGACAAGAACGATGCTCACAAATCTGCCTTTAATAAGAGACATCAAGAGTTCTATTTATTAAAGGAGTAGAACACTTGTTTAATCAGTACATTTGCAGTGGTCTCTATAGGAATGAATGCCTTGTTAATCATTCTCAGGGGTAAAAATAAACTGGTGCACCATTTCTAGGAACTAAAAGTTACCCCCATCACAGCTGAGCTTCAGACAGCAGGTCTTACTTCCTGACATTTGGATAACAGCAATGCAACTCTACCACTGACTTGCAACATTGATGTTTTATCTCCACAAATAACACAAGCCTGAAGGAGTTCTGCTGTGTGGTGGAGTTGATAATGCTAAAGGTTAGCTTGTCCTACTCGAGACATTCTCTGCTGTTTCCTGGATGCTAAACCAGCCTTCCCCAATGTGAGTCAAGATGGTGATTCTATGAATGTTAAGTAACAGTGTGATGTAGATGTGTCAGGAATGTTTAATCCTAGACTTTTACCGTCTATTTTCTATCAGAAGCTAATGCAGGAGATAGGTGTAGGAGACTATTTTCATGTTCAGCCTGCATGAAAAACTCAGAGTGACTGGTTATAATTAGAAATAGGTTTTCAGTGTGTCACCTCTTTAAGAAAATGTAATAAAAGCAAAGAAAAAGAAAACTGTTAATCTGTTAGGAGAATATAAATGCTTTGCATTGTCGTCGTCGTCTTCCTCCGCTTATCCGGGTCCGGGTCGCGGGGGCAGCATCCCAACTAGGGAGCTCCAGATCGTCCTCTCCCTGGCCATCTCCACCAGTTCCTCCGGCAGGACCCCAAGGCGTTCCCGGACCAGTTTGGAGATGTAACCTCTCCAACGTGTCCTGGGTCGACCCGGGGGCCTCCTGCCAGCAGGACATGCCCGAAACACCTCCCCAGGGAGGCGTCCAGGAGGCATCCTGACCAGATGCCCAAACCACTTTAACTGACTCATTTCGATCTGGTGGAGCAGCGGCTCTACTCTGAGTCCCTCCCGAAAGCTCCTCACCCTATCTCTAAGGCTGAGCCCGGCCACCCTACGGATAGGGCTGGGCGATATGGCAAAAATAGAATATCACGATTTTTCCAATATTTTATCACGATTTCTATTTTATCATGATTTTTTTATCCATGAATAGCATAACTTCAATTGCGTATTAAAGAAGAGAAACATTGAATAAATAAACATTTATTCATATTAGGGATAATCAACACAGTGCTAACACACTTATATTTTAAACTCACACCAGAGATGATAAAAGCCCTGAGAGAAACAATTACAAAAATCAGTTTTTCTCATTTTTCAAGTAACTTAACATAAATTAAAATCGTAAACATATTTTAAGTGCAAACATGTCAATTGCAAACGTATTGTGCAAACATTAACTTGTTCAAAATACTATGTAGCTCCCAGTTGCTCATGTAGTGGATAGTTAAGCTCAAATACGGCTCTGATGTGCGGCTGGACCAGAGATCGCTTGTGGTAGCAAATAACTGCGCATTCTGAATATTTTCTGCAACAAGTCTCTAAATAAAGTAAAATTTTCCAGTGCAGATTGGAGACAACCCATAGAAGCACTGATTTGATCTCATTTCAGAGAAAAATAGAACAGGTTAGATGCACCTAATAAATAAAATTACTAACAAACTCAGGAATCTTTCTTTGCTTCCCTGTTCTGGTGCTGAGAATATCACTAATGCGGATCAAAGGAGATACACAGATGAATGCACCTCTTATTATTTGGAGACTACATTTACTGCAGCTGGCAGAGATTGTTTCTATTGATACACGGAGTTTACAGAATCATTTAAAATGTTAATAGGGGAAGACTGCAGGAGGGAGCGGTAAAATACAGGGGGTCCCAGCAAAAACAAGAAACTACGAGTCTGATGAAACCCGCTGGTTTTCCATCAGGCAGTCACGGGGCAGCTCCAGCGACCCAGTGACCGAGCTCAGTCCGGTACCGGCTCGGCAGAGGGTGGACGAGCCGAGGCGACGTCGTGCTCTGCAAGCGGTGTTATTTTCCTGCTTCAGAAGAAGCGTCCAACGTGTTTTTACGCTTTGTCCGAGACATGTCACGTCGCTAAGTTGTTAGCGCCGCTCGCTAAGGAAACCCTGCTTTCCTCTTCGGAACGAAAACCTCGTTGTCGCTCTCAGCCGCGGCGAAGCCATGTTTGTTCACACACAGGTGAAAACAAGCGGGGCAATATATTACTATGACTCACTCTGATTGGTTTAGGGTCAAACAAAGGCGTGTCATTCGTAAGTTCCCTTTTCATTCAGAGGCAGAAATTCAACAGCAGAGCTGTGAATCGTGATAAAACGGTCTCTCAAAAATGACAGACCGTCAGATGTGTAGATCGTAAAACGGTCTAAAATCGTCATATCGCCCAGCCCTACCTACGGAGGAAACTCATTTCGACCGCTTGTATTCGCGATCTCGTTCTTTCGGTCATTACCCAAAGCTCATGATCATAGGTGAGGATTGGGACGTCGATCGACCGATAAATCGAGAGCCTGGCTTTCTGGCTCAGCTCCCTCTTCGCCACGACAGATCGGCTCAGCGTCCGCATCACTGCAGACGCCGAACAAATCTGCCTGTGGATCCCTCCTACCCTCACTCGTGAACAAGACCCCGAGATACTTGAACTCCTCCACTTGAGGTAGGACCTCTCTTCCGACACGGAGTTGGCAAGCCACCCTTTCCCGGTCGAGAACCATGGTCTCAGATTTGGAGGTGCTGATCCTCATCCCAGCCGCTTCACACTCTGCTGCGAACCTTCCCAGCAAGAGCTGAAGGTCAGAGCTGGATGAAGCTAGAAGAACCACATCATCCGCAAAAAGCAGAGATGAGATTCTCCTGCCACCAAGCTCGACACACTCCACACCACGGCTGCGCCTAGAAATTCTGTCCACAAAGGTTATGAACAGAACCGGTGACAAAGGGCAGCCCTGGCGGAGTCCAACCCTCACCGGGAACAGGTCCGACTTACTACCGGCTATGCAGACTGGCATCAAAGCCGTGGACAGTTTGGTCCCTATTGGATGCAGACAGCGTGAGCTCATCGTTGGAGACAGGCAAAACTGCAATCGCCATTGACACAACCATCAACCAGAAGCCCTTCAACGATGGGATGGACAACAATAAGAAGCTGTACTGCATCTATGTCGCCATCGGCCAGAAGAGGCCCACAGTGGCTCAGCTGGTGAAGAGGCTGACTGATGCTGACGCCATGAAGTACACCATTGTGGTGTCTGCTACAGCCTCTGATGTGGCTCCGCTGCAATTCCTGGCTCCCTACTCAGGCTGCTCCATGGGGGAGTATTTCAGAGACAACGGCAAGCACGCTTTGCATTGTACTTTACTTTTTCTATGACAGTTTTTTAAGTACATTTCCATATTATTTGTTCTCCTGTTCATAAAAATCTTAGCAAAGCAAAAAGTGACTTTTTGCATCAGAAATCTTGTAACAGTTTGTTTTTAAAGCTGGTTGATTGATTGACTGATTACACTGCTTAAAATAAAATCATCCATTGTCATCCTCATAATTTAAATGCCAGGAGTAAAACGTAAATACTTGTCATTCTTAAACCATTATTATCAGCTAAGGCTATAAAGTGTTATACTTAAGTTTGCTCTGTGTGTGTGTGTGTGTGCGTGTGTGTGTGTGTGTGTGTGTGTGTGTGTGTGTGTGTGTGTGTGTGTGTGTGTGTGTGTGTGTGTGTGTGTGTGTGATCTGTGATGTGGAACTATGAGGGATTAGAAGGTGTCAGGATGACATATCGCTGTAACTCAGAGGACTAGAAGAGGCTGTCATGCTGAAATATGTGTCAGATTTTACTTCATAACCCTGAAGCCCCAGTAGGTGTGTGGGATCTGTGAGTTTCAGCTTCTTTGGCACAATCCTACAACACAACAACCTTTTGGCAGCAAACTTGTCAGAATGAGCAACTATAGTCCATAGAGTCATGACTAGAGTCATGATGGTGCATTTATAGAAGACTGATTCACATTCAGAACAGGTTGATGTGAGAATTATCATGCTGCTGGTGATGTCTGCCTCTTTAATTTGTGCATTTCAGTCATATTTTACTACAAACTGAACATAATCACATATTACCTCTGAGTACAGGATGTTTTGTGCAGCAGCAAAATGCAGCTTGTTACAGGCTTCCAGAAGCTGAAGCATGTCATCCATAATTTAATCTTCCAAATTTGAGCTCTAGTTAATTTCTTCTGAGATGTTTGAGACCAGCTTGTGTAGGAACTGGACTCCATCAGACACTCAACATGTGTTTCTGTTCCTAAAACGATTAAATAATAAACCTTGGATATCCTTATGCCTAAAACCCTGACTGGTTTAGTGTCTGTGTTCAGTCACTGACTTTAGAAAGTCATTGGTTTTGTCTGTCAGTTGAATTTTGCTTCACTTGAGTCCCTTTTTTAAAACTTCTTTGATGCTGCTTAAGACCTTTCAGTTTAGTTTTAGATGTTTCCTTTTGCTCTTTGCACATCACAATTGCTGCTCCGCCTGTTTCTCATGAAACATTTATTTTCTCTAGAAGAAAAAGTTCATCCTTTAACGCTTTTAACATTTAAATGTCTTGGTCCAGTCAGTGACTTCATGCAACCTGCTGGGCTCCTTAACTTTTTTACTAATTGGCTTAATGAACTGACCTGTATTGGAATGTTTACAATGTGAAGTGCCTTGAGACAACTCTTGTCGTGATTTGGCGTTATATAAATAAACTGAATTGAATTGAAAAAGTTACATTTAATACATATAAGTATTGCGGATTTGAAACAGAGTCGTGTTGACCCACTGACCTAGTTGGCACGTCCTGCCGGTCCACCCCGGCTGACAGAGGCACCTGAAACTTCCTGGAACCTCCTCACAAGTCGCTCCAGGTCCACAAGGGTTGCGATCACACTGCCTCACCACTGAGAAGGGGGAGGGAAAACATGAGCTACTGGTTTGGGTAAAAGGAAAGTGTGTGTGAATATTAAACAGTGTCACCAAGTTTGTGCGATGCCACCATATATGTGGTATTAGTATGCTGCAGTGATGGTTGTTTTCATTTTCCTCTCTGCTTCTCTGACTTCTGTGTAAACAGCGATAAATACAGTCATCCGCTGAGAGTACATGACTGACACTTCAAACCTTTAACCGGAGCAGGGGGGAGCCAAATAGGATGAAGGAAGACAAGAGAAAATGTAAAACTGGAGTCTGTTTCCAGTTATCTGACAAGGAATCAAAAACAAGTAAAAAAAATCTAAACAAAGTGAGAAAAACAAAAGAGAGTGCTATTTTTAACCAAGCAAAATGTCTTATTACAGACAGAAGTATTTGTGCAGAAGTGGAATCTTAACTTTTCCCACATTTCTCTGGAGAGCCCTCCGTGTCTCCCATAACATCCTTTTCATTTACCTAACCCTGCAGAACAACCATTTTCCATCTCTCTGACCCCAACGCCAGCCCTCAGCAATAACAATCCTGCTGAACTTGCCGCACTTCTCCCAAACAAGACGGGGAATTCATAGCAAACAAAGAGGCCTTTAATTAATATCGTTTATACGTATAAATCAAGTCAGAAAACTGAGCTGTGTTGTGGTTTTGGTTTTAATTCCCTGCAAGCCTGACAATCCTCTCAATGTATTCCCCTGACACTCCACGCCATCCATCCACCCCCACAACAACACATCCAGAGATAGTCTGCCTCCCTGACTGTAAATCAAGCAAACAACAAACAAGAGTAAAAAATAAACTATTCTTTCATTCCCATTGGTCCTCTGTTTCTGATGTGTTAACAACCCTGAGCCTGATCTGTGGCTCTGTTCATCCTGATGGAGGTGAAGGCAGAGGATGTGGAGCGCCACTTGTTTACAGAAACAGCTGACTAACCATAAACCGTGTGATCCAATCTCACCTGCCGCCACACGCAACAGGAGCTGAAACCAAGCGTGGAGAGGTTTAACAGACTGTTGGGTCAGATCTGGTCACAGCCTCAAACACGCCTGACCTATAACACGCTTAGTGAGGTTTGACACGCATCAAGCTGAGTGGGTTTGTGCAATTGCAAAAAATGGTTTCCATAACTCTGTGTTTGAGACATGTCTGGATGTTACTTGTCTTTGAGGGTTTACAGAATTATGATTTTAAAACATAATCTAACATTCCAGCTCCATGGAGCTGTCTTCTTCAGATTTTTAGACACCAGCTGACGTTATTAGCAGTGGTGCCACACCAAATCAGTCCCTACAGTAATTCAATGGTTTTGTATTGCATTACTCCATCACTCATTTTCATCAAAAAAAAAAAAACAACAACATGCATCTAAATAATTTACCTCAAAATTTAGAGACATCCACATTTCAGAAAAATACTTTTCAAACATTATTTGAATTATTTGTCTTTGATTTGAGAAGGGTTTAATTCATGTTACAGTTATACTGTCACACCCTGTCCTGTCTTCTCCTAGGTTGTAGTCTGTGTCTCCGTTAATTGCTCCCACCTGCCTCTTGTTTCCCAATCACCATAGCTCCCATTCCTCATGTATTTAAACCCCTTCTGTTCTGTGTTCCTTGTGGTGTCATTGTTTCATTGTCCAGCGTGCTTAATAAACCCTTGTTAATCGTTCCTACCTACCTACCTACCTACCTACCTACCTACCTACCTGCCTGCCTGTTTCCTCCCCGGTCTGGATCCTCGCCTTTCCTCCGCTCCACTCAGCAGCACGTCGTGACATATACTTTTGTTTAGAAAATGTTGTATACATTTTTAAAATTATTATTTATTTATTTATAAATGAGTTTTATATTTTATGGGTTTTGTAATTATGTCTTGATTAAAAAGGATGAATTTATGGTTTTTGAACATGATTATAATTAAAGGGGCATTATGGAAGTTTGACAGCCAAAACATGTATAGAAATAATTTATTTCTTCTTCATACATTCTCCTGCAATGCCCTGGTCGTGTAGAATGAGCCCTGGCATTTTTACTGTGATTGCCTGTTTTTCTGTAAAATCACAGAAAAAGAGAGCTGCTCGGGTCGAGCAGGCTGCTTCATGCGCGTTCACGCTCAGGCATAGCCCGTAGCATTTGCTCTCCGTATCTTTAGCAGCAGAGAGAGAGGCAGTGCCAACTCAGCGACTTTGTCGCTGTTCCTAACGCCTAGTGATGAACCTAGCTACATTTCTGAGGACCCTTAGCTACTTTCTTCTAGATATTTCCTGCAAATTAGCAACAAAATAGCCATTTTTGCTCCGAACCGTTTTGAATGTTGTTTCAGCTGTCATTAAGATTACAGATACAATGGATGTTATGGGTGCTTTAGCTCATCTGGTTTAACATCAGACCCTCGTGCAGAAGTTCTAGGTTCGATCCTGGATGCAACCATGATTTATTTAGAGTTTATTTTTAACATTAATGGTATATTTTTTACAGTAAGATGCCCATATGTTTTAATTGAGACTCGCCGAACGGCTTTGAATTCACAGATAAAAAAGATGTAGGTTCTACTTTCATTTTGGAACAATTTTACAAGCAAGGGAAGGGAAGCTCTGTGAAGCTGATGGACTGACCCATCATAAACCTTTGTCGGCTGTGCTGAAGAGAAAAGGTACAGAACCAAATTATTTAATTAATTAGCTGCGCGTTCTCCTGTCCTCTGTCCTCCAGGCCACACACACACACACACACACACACACACACACACACACACACACACACACACACACACACACACACACACACACACACACACAGGACTGTCTCAGCTGTTATTTTCGTCAAGGAGTGTGCACGTACAGCATGCGCGCCTCATGCCGTATGTTATGCTTTTGGCCTGAGGGGGCAATCGTGAGCATAAAAATTCAAAACTCCGTAAAGTCCCTTTAATTAAAAGATGGAGGTCTTCCCTAAGGGGGCCAGTGGGGTGGCCAACAATTTTCTAGGGATAGCCATGGTACCCCCTGGCCACCCCTTGGGGCCGCCACTGGTTACTGGTATTTCACCCTTTGGGTCAAAGTGGTCAAAGTCGGACTCTCTGGTGCTGCCTTCTTTTTGATGATAAACATCAGGCTTCTGCATCACCAGTTTCTGAAGATGTATGCCAACAACAACATGTCATTCCTCCTCTAAACACTAGTGTGTGTTAGTGTATTGTTGTTATGGATAACAGTGGTCTCTATTTGCTCACTGAGCAAACAAACTTTGAAAAAATGACATTGACTTGGCAGACGTTGTGGTTCTTTTAATTTTTTCTCACGGAAACACAAAAGACAAGGGAAGTGGATGTTTTAGTGCAAATTCTGATGTGTGTGAGTAAAATCTGTCATGGTGCAGTTATAACTCATTTGGGTGAATGTAACCTGACCGTATGGGAACGAGTGATGTGTGCTTGATCGTCAGATTAAAAACAGCCAAATATTGGACTGCAAACATTTAAATAGCGCAGCTAAAAACTTTAAATGCTTCTCCTTTAAAAAAGCATTGTTTATGCTGATGATACACACGCACGCACGCACGCACGCACGCACACACACACACACACACACACACACACACACACACACACACACACTCACACACACACACACACAGCCAGACAGACCACTGATTGTTGCTGATACTATATGCATTAAGACTAATTTTACTTCCTCTCTCCGATTGATTTCAATCACTGAGTGGCTTTGATCGAATTATAACCAGTCGTAGGTTATCTTTAATCTCCTGCTTCCCTTTTAGCTCAGACTTCACACGTATGGAGGGCTGACAATCACCATCTGTGCAGGTGTTTCCAGTCCAGCCTTCGGCGCAGATGCAGCTGAAGCTTGTCTGGTTTTCTTCACAGGTGGCTCCGTTCATACACGGAGATGACAAACACGCATGCTCCACTGAGACACAGAAAGAGACAGATAAAAACACAGATTTAGAACTAGAATTCAGATGGGATTAGTTTGTTTTGATTGAATTACAATGTTTACCCATGATCCCTTTGTTTGCAAATCACCAGTACTTATTCTTGTAAACAGCTTTCAGGAATTTGAGGCGGGACTCACCAATGTCACAGTTGCGTCCTCTAAAGCCCTCCTGGCAGTCACACTGGTACTCGTTTGGCTCCGTGTTGGTGCAGGTCCCACCGTTTTTACAGGGCTGATGGGTGCCACAGTAGTTTAGATCTGAAAACACACAAAGAAATATTCATATTATTTTGTTCAGTACTAAATTTCACAAGATGAACGGAGGTTTACTGTGCTTTAAGCCACAAAACACAAGAGCTGGTGTGAATCCGAATCCGTTCCAGTGGTTTCCCAAGATTTTTCTTCTCTGATCATCTACATGTCCAAGGTCTCCTTGTCTCATTGCCGCTCTTTAAAGAGCCTCTCTGAACTCACAGAAACCACTTACGACCCCACCTAGCTGAAACCTCCAAGCCCAGCCCTGCTCACATTCACTTTACCCAAGGCTATCACCTTTCCTCTCCACAATAACCCGTCCCCTGGGTTTAAGTTTAATTCAGGCTAACCGCACTGGGACAGAGGATCAAGTCGGAATAACTAATGCAGTGAGCCCAAATCCTTTGGGTACCTTTTATTATCTGACGATCCCTGGGTCATTAAGATCAAAATAATAAAGTTCACATGACGTTTCTCTCCATATCACATATTCTCAGCCAACATAAGATACTCTGGAAAGTTCTTTCTTGTTTGTGTAGATAGAAAAAAAACCTGAGTTGATTTACTTGTTTTAAACGTTTCCCTAAAAGTAGAACAAACTGCATTTATGTTGTTTAAAACATTTAAAGATACTTTATAAATCTGACTATCTGACCCTGTTCTGTGACAGATAGTAGGTCATTTTCCATACATTTCCTCTAAGTCCATCTGCTGGCCTCTACATCAAAATTAATTGTGAGCCAACAGCATTCACCAATAAATTTGTGTATCCACAAGAGGGAGCTGCCAATCAACAAGAAGGCACCCCGTGCACAGCTAACTGTGAAAGAGGAGTGGGATGAAAAGGGATTAGCCTAACCCGAACATCGGAATATTGTTTTAGCCTGTTGTAGTGTTAGCAACCATCGTGAGTGTCTGATGGTGAAATATATTTCTCTGCTTGAACAATGCAGATTTGATTGAGTGTTTAGCAGCTCCTGCAGAACCTGATGAAGGCTGAGGAGATAGTTTAGCTGTCAGAATTAGGGATGAACAGGAACATTTCAAAAACATGCAGCCTTCAGTTAGCGCTACAAGGCTATTTACGTCTCATGATTTGTGACTTTCAGCTCCCTCCAGAAGAGGAGATGATGTCACCCTATAGACTAGGGCTGTAAACCCAGAGATGACCAGAATTAAAACTTGATTTGAGTAAAACTTTATTCTTCAGTGACTACTGACCTTTGTCACATAGAAGTCCTCCCCAGTTGACGTCACACACACACTGCCACGGCTCAGTGCAGCTCCCATACACACAGCCAGGGAACGTCGCACACTCATCACACAGAGCACCGGCCCAGCCGTAGTAACACCTGGATGAAGAGCAGGCAGGTAAGTTAACTCATTTATGGAGAGTATCTGGTGCATTCAGAATGAAATGCTTTTTTAATAGGCCTGTGTTTACTCTTAAAATGTAGTTACCATCAAAAGGCAGCATCTAACAGCAGCGATACTGATATCTGAGCTATTCAACATGAAACTTGTAACATTGATATTCATGTCTTCAAGGGCTCCTGGACAGGCTTACTTGCATTCTCCAGGTTCTGTACAATAGCCGTGGGTTTGATGACACCCCTGTCTGCACACGGCTGTCAAAAAACACACAAAAAGAAATGAGTGACTAGAAAACAGCTTTTATGACTCTTTCTTTAAGCCTCCATGTTTCTGCTGGTTAAACGTGAAACAGAAATGAAAGAAAACAAGCAAATAAATACTTGTGGGGAATAAAGTAAGTTAAAGGGGTAAAATGGTAAAAACCTTTTATAAAATTGACACCATTACTAAAGTCTGCCCACACATCTGGATCAGCGACCCACAGGGGGGTAAGGAGGGACCTCCATGGGTAATCAGTCAAACTTCCTGCTTCTTTTCGGTCCAATCAGCACCGTGCTGAGGAGGAAGTCAGATGAAGTGAGACAGGAGTGGGATGGGAAGGGCTGCAGGATGTCCTCGAACTATCTGTGTGTCCTTCAGGGTTCTCCCCTGGTCTTCACTCGGGTTTCCTCCACACTTTAATGGCTGTAAAAGGTTGACAGCTCTCTGAGGTCATGAAGAAAGGTCATCCAGCTGATGAGTCAAACTGAATAATGTTCCACAACCTCTCCACTGATGCATGATCATCTACACGAGTGTAACGACTCTCAGTGATATCATCCATCTTCTCCATTCATAAGGCTGTTCCTCATGTTGTCACATGGATATTTAAGGACTTTGAGAGGTTGTGTTTCTTTAAAATCAAATGAAATGGCCATCAGTTTGGAAAAGAAGAATTGTGTTTATTTTAACTATCTTTATTCACAATTAAAGGTCTTCCAAGGACAAGGTAAATCAGGAAAACATTCACATCCTCATGGAAAACCCTTTTCAGAAAGCTTGGATAGACCATTAAACAGGAAACTCCAGTGAAGGGGATGAGAACAAGAAAATAGAAAAGAAAAATGTTGTTTAAGCAGTAGATTCAAGCCTTGAAAAAATAAGGACAAATATTTTGAGGGAATTAAATTATTTACCGTTTTTTGGTGGAACATTGAAATATCAACCACAAAATTGTGCAAAAAACTTCTCAACCTTTTGGTCAATTTTATAACAAAACAGAAAATGGATTCAACTCTGTTGTTCTATTTCGTCTAGTCTTAGCCCTTAAGCTAGCTGCTATTGGAAGGATGATCTCCGCATCAGCCAATCATGAAGAGCTTAAATGTACGCCCACCAATAGTGGGCCCCCTCGTGGTATATAACCGCAGTGACCCCACTGCTCACCTCCTTTTTTCTCTTCATGCCAAGCTTGAGAGCTTTATTAAAGAGCAAATACAGTATTATCTCAAAAGAGCGAAATTATCCGAAGACGACTTACCAGCCATGTCCAGCGACGCCAGACCCTGCCCGACCTGCCAGACGGGCTCCATTTCCAGCGGCGACCTGCACGCTAAGTGTGAGGTCTGTCTCGGGGCTCACCACGCTGGCCTGGCCTTGACCCCGCAGGCCTCGTGCCCGTTCTGTGCCGCTCTGCCCGTGGCAGAGAAGATTCGCCGGGTCGAGTACTTCACTCCCGCCGCCGACGAAGAATTTCCGGTGGCTGACTCCTACCCGCTGGACAAGGCTTTGGTTTTCTTCGACGCCGGTCAGGAGCCGGCTGGCTTCAACCGGCTGGATGACGTCACCGACAGCGAAAACTACGATGAGGCGGCATCCCTCCTAGACATAACGGAGGTCGACGAGCTTCGCTCAGTGGGTCCTTCTGCCCCAGTGGCTTCTCGCTCCTCCCTGCCAGCAGTAAGAGCACTGCTCCAGGAGCTGCCCACCATCATTTCTGCGGCAGCAGCCCGCAAGGGGCTAGCTGTGCCAGAACCGGCCCTGCCTGAAGCGGATGATTTGGCGGGAATTTTCGGGGCAACTCAGACACGCTGTCCAGACCCTGTCTGGCCGCGCTTCCCCGCTGCTATGAGCTGCTGGTCTGCCGCCTTCTCCGAGCCTGCCAAGCTCAAGGCGCCAGTCTCCACGTATGCGCCCATCACCAAGGTCGAGGGGTTTTCCGACCAAGGCTGGCCGTCCGTTCCTCCACTAGAGCCGGATTTGGCCTCGCTGTTCGGCGCCAAGAACCACCTCGCTGGCCCGCGAGCTGTTCCCGCTTCAAAACATGACCAGCTGCTGACGCGGCTCACCGACCGCACACATCAGTGTGCCTTTCAGACCGGCGCTGCAGGGAATAACATCGCCCTTCTTGCCTTCGGTGTCTCCAAGATGATGGAGGAGCTGGAAGCTCCCGAGGAGTCGAAAGCCGTCACAACTAAGACTGCTGATGCTATCCTCAATCTGTGTGCTGCTGTGCTCACCGGTTCTGCTCGCATCGCTGCCTGGCAGACCCTCATCCAGCGAGCGATCTGGCTGAAGGCCCTGCCCTCCATTCCGGAACATCTGCAAAGGGAGATGCTGGATGGCCCCATCACCACCGATGTTCTGTTTGGTCCCCATCTTAGGGGCGTCATTGAGAGGGCTCAGAAAACGGCCAAACTATCGGCTACGGTGCGAGACCTGGTCCACCCTCGGTCAGCCTCGCACTCCGGCCGTTCAGCCAGAGGATGGGACGAACGGCGCGGAAGCTTCAGACGTCCAGCTGCACCGCCCGCTCCACGGAGCCGGCCTCCCGCTTCGGCTCCACATCAGCGGCACCAGCGAGATGGCGGACAACGGTTCCGGCGGAGCCAGCAGACGCCGTCTTGGCAGTCCCAGGTGCACGAGCCTCGCCGAAAGCAGCCACGGAAGTGACTCTTTGGGGGGAATGTGTGTGTTACTGATTGTTCTGATGTTGTTGGTTTTGAAATAAAACACAAAAAACGTCACTCAAAGAGCTCAATCCTACAGTCCTCCGCAGAATCCTCTGCCGAGTTTTCACACATGTTCCCAACACCAAGCACTGCTGCACGCACACATGTTCCTGCAGGTAGTCATAATACCCGGCCAGCCGTAAGGGTGCGCTCCATTTGCGCTCTGGCCCCAGCATCCGGCCAGGCCCAACTCTTCCCGCTCTCCCCACGCCGTTGGGTGGGGCGGGATGTCATGTCGCTGTCTCGACCACGCGCGGTGGCACAGTGCGCGGCTCCATCCGCTAGCACTCTGTCGCCCCCGTGCACAGGCCCGGCTCCCACTCGTCCTTCACTCTCGGACTCCACGCTCCGCGGTGTGGACCAGCCTGTTCCAGCTGTTTCGCACTTGCCCTTTCGAGCGCAGCCCTCCATGGGTCGCCCCCAGTTCTCTGGTACGGGCGACGGCGGTAAGGGCGCATGCACAACCCTCAGACGTTGTTCACGTGACCGCGCACACGCATCCATTGTCGGAACGCGCGCACGAGTGGCGCCGCCTTTGCATCATGAGCAAATGGATTTCGGACACCATTCATTGCGGTCACACACTTCATTTTCAGGCCACTCCACCTCCCTTCAACGGGATCGTGGAGACGACGTTCACATCGCAAGTACAGTCTCAGGCGCTAGAGCTGGAGCTGCGGGAACTTCTGTCCAAAGACGCTATTTCCCGAGTCCCTCGCGGACAAGAACTCTCGGGTTTCTACTCCCGCTACTTCGTAGTACCGAAGAAGTCGGGAGGAATGAGGCCGATTCTCGACCTGTCCCTGTTCAACTGCTCCATAGCAGTAATGCATTTCCGCATGTTAACGATGAGACAAGTCCTGGAATATGTGCGCCCCGGGGATTGGTTCACGTCAATCGACCTGAAAGACGCATACTTCCACATACCAGTAGTTCCAAACCACCGGAAGTTTCTGCGTTTTTCGTTCAAGGGAGTTCAATATCAGTTCAATCGCCTCCCTTTCGGCTACTCGCTAGCCCCGCGCACCTTCTCCAAATGTCTGGAGACCGCGCTGCAGCCACTGCGCACGGAGGGAATGAGGGTCTTATTTTACCTGGACGATCTTCTCCTGTGCGCTCGGTCCAAGGACGAGGCGTCACAGCAAACCAGGAGGTTGACAGGACATCTGTCAACCCTAGGGTTTTCTATAAACTGGGAAAAGAGCTCCATCCTTCCATCCCAGTCGATTGTGTATCTCGGGGTGGAGTTGGACTTCTCCCTAATGAGAGCACGTTTGTCGCCTGCAAGAGCGGCAGATCTCTCCACGGTGATCTCCCGTGTTCAACCCCGCAAGATCGTGAGAGCCCGGTTAGTCATGAAACTCCTGGGCATGATGTCCGCAGCCCATTCAGTAGTGCCGCTAGGTTTGCTGAACACGAGGCGCTTGCAACGCTGGTTCGTCCGCCTCCGGGTACACCCGATACGTCAGAAGAGACGTATGTTGAGGATTCCCCCTTCAGTGGGCGGGGACCTCGCTCACTGGGGGAACGCCTGCATCCTCTCACGCGGGGTTCCCATCGGACGTCCTGCGTCACACGTATCTGTGTTTACGGATGCGTCACTGTCGGGGTGGGGGGGCACGTGCTTGTCCCATACGGTGGCAGATCGCTGGCCCTCCCACACGCACGAGCACATAAATGTGTTGGAGCTTATGACAGTGAGGAATGTGATCAGACACTTCGCTGCCCTTCTAGAGGGCCGTCATGTCGAAGTTCACACAGACAACCGGGTAGCGGCAGCCTACATAAATCGCCAAGGGGGAGTTCGATCCCTCCCACTGTTGCGTGTCGCCACAGATTTACTGTGTTGGACACATGTCCACCTGCTGTCCATCAGAGCCATCTACATTCCGGGGGTACTGAATGTAGCGGCAGACATCCTGTTGAGAGGGGGAACCCGCGACTCCGACTGGCGTCTACATCCTGCACTGATATCACAGATCTGGATCAGGTTCGGGGAACCGTCTGTGGATCTGTTCGCGGCTCGCGAAAACGCTCAGTGTCGCCTGTGGTTTTCCCTGAGTCCCCGGGACGGACCCCTGCTCGGGGCGGACGCCTTCTCACACCAGCCCTGGCCTCGAACGCTCCTTTATGCGTTTCCACCAGTCCCTCTGATTCCCCGTCTCCTGGACCGAATTCGGTCGGAACAGCTCTCGGTGATTCTGGTGGCTCCCAGACACGTGTCCGCGTCATGGTTTCCGGACCTGCAAGCGCTAGTGTCCAGCTCCCCGTGGAGGCTCCCGTGGAGGGCGGACGCCCTTCTCCAGGCGGATGGGATAATCAAACATCCTCCCGAAATAGGCCAACGGCTGTGGGTCTGGCCGCTGAGCGGTCACGCTTAGAGGCTTCTGGGCTGCCGCATGATGTGGTCGCCACGATTCAGAGTGCGCGGGCGCCCTCTACCATTGCGTCTTACACTGCTAAATGGGCAGCTTTCCAGAACTGGTGCGCAGAACGGAATGTTCAAGCGCTCTCCTGCCAGCTGGCGGATGTCCTATCGTTTCTGCAGATACTGATGGACAGGGGCCTCGCATTCAGCACTGTTAAGACATATGCTGCAGCTATCTCATCATGTCATCAGGGTTTTGGAGATAGATCTGTTTTCAATCATCCCCTCACAAAACGTTTTCTAAAAGGTGTCAGGAGGAACAGACCTGTGTCCCGCCCGCTTTTTCCCCAATGGGATCTAACGGTGGTTCTGCGTGGCTTATCTGAAGCTCCATTTGAACCCTTGGACCAGGTCTCACTCAAGTTCCTGTCGCTTAAAACTGCATTGCTGCTGGCGCTAGCATCAGTTAAGAGAGTGAGTGACCTAACCGCCCTCTCAGTGGCTCCCGCATGCCTCAGGATCCGGGAGGATGGCGGATCTGCTGTTTTATGCCCCAACCCAGCCTTTGTGCCCAAAAGCATTAATGCTTCCTTCAAATCCAGGTCAATCTCATTGGCTGGACTTTTTCCTCCTCCCCATAATTCTGAGGAGGAGGCGGCTTCTCACCTTCTCTGCCCGGTGCGCGCGCTTGCACGATATGTGTCACGCACTTCAGGGATTCGTCGCTCACAAAACCTGTTTGTGCACTACAGGGAGTCTTCCCTTGGTCAGGCGCTGTCGGCCCAGCGCCTTTCACGCTGGCTGTGTGACGCCATTTCCCTCGCTTACACATCATCAGGGCAGGATCCCCCTGAGGCACTCAGGGCTCACTCAGCCAGAGGGATTTCTTCTTCGATGGCGCTCCTCAGTGGTGTGTCAATGGAAGACATTTGTCAGGCTGCTTCATGGGCTTCCCCATGTTCCTTTACTCGTTATTATTTACGAGATGTGTCTTCAGGATCCATCACTCGTTCAGTGCTTGGACCCCAGCAGGCTAAATGAATGCTTATGGCACCTCATTGGCCTTGCTGAGATGGATTTCATCCTCTTGTGGATGATATTTTTTAGTGGGGGCCCCTCTCTTATCGTGCCTGCCTCAGTCTTTAAGCCTGGTCTGAGGCTGAACGTCCCCCACTAGAGGAGATTTGATTGGGTGTCTCCATTGGTTGTGTTAACCAGTGGGGCGTAAACCCATCCAGCTGCGCTTTATTCCAATAGCAGCTAGCTTAAGGGCTAAGACTAGACGAAATAGAACGTTGGTTACGTATTGTAACCCCAGATTCTATGAGTCTAGTCGCAGCCCTTAAGCCACTGGCCCCACTGGTTATGATGGGAATAAGAGCCATTGGAGGTGAGCAGTGGGGTCACTGCGGTTATATACCACGAGGGGGCCCACTATTGGTGGGCGTACATTTAAGCTCTTCATGATTGGCTGATGCGGAGATCATCCTTCCAATAGCAGCTAGCTTAAGGGCTGCGACTAGACTCATAGAATCTGGGGTTACAATACGTAACCAACGTTCTTGAGTCATTCATTAGCGCCCTTCGTTAACTTGCATAAATAAAGTCTAATTCGTCACAGAAAACATTTCCATTTCACATTTAAATAAAGAAAAGTCCTCAGATGAGAAGCAAAACATCTGATATGTGAACAAGAAACTCTTAGGATCTCCTTTTGTTGGTTGACTGAGAACTCTCAACATCAATTCAAAGCAATTCTTTTACTTTGTATGAGCAAACATGAATATGTCAAAAGATTTTATTTACCGTCTTTGCACTCTGGTCCGGTCCAGCCCTCCATGCAGACCTTTGTGCCACTCGGGTCACAGCTAAAGTGACCAAAGAAGTCATCTCGGTTCCGGCAGAACTTGCTGCAGAAAGGACCGAAGTAATTGGAGTCACAGCGAAAGCGAAGCCGGTACTCCAGGCTGAGAATGCGTCCGTGGTGACGATACGTCTGCCACTGCTCACCTGGGTTCAGCATGGAGGACAGCAGGACCTGTTCGATCAGCTGACCTGAAGGACAACAGAGGAAAGGAACATGTTACTCCACAAAAACAGCAAGCTTCATTTTAGTAGAAACATTTTTTAAAATAATGTTACCATTCATAGATCATTCTGAAAATAACATAAAAGTTTCATGTCCATTTTTATGTACGCTGAAGCATTTATATTTATTTTCTCTCTAAGTATAAAAACAAACACAACATTGCCAAATGTTCTTTTTTTTGCCAAACAGCTGTTCGTGTGCACATCCACAGCATCATTATTATAATTTAGAGTTGCACTTTCTACATAATTGTTTCCTAGGTTACTAATGCTCTAACATCCACTTCCCAAGGAGTGAAAATTAGGTTTATCAGAGCTATTCCACTAAAAGCAACTGGCTATGAGGAGTTAAACTAAGAGCTGGAAAAGCCAAAAACGCTCTGAGCTACACAGCACACCTGGGCAGGTTGAAATCAGCAGCTCATAAATCAGAGGTGGCATGCCTTGGACCATTTGTTTAAACACACACCACTCATCTAGACATGGCTTGCACACATGATTTGCTGACAGATATATTCTCATCAAATAAAACTAGTAAAATAGGTTTCAGCAGGTATGGGTAGCCTCCCTGCTTGAGTCAAGTCAAACAGTTGGGGGCTCGTCCGGGATTAAGCACTCCCCAAACAAGGCAAGAAATATACACATTTGGTAGCTTGTTGATCCTGTTATGCTTTGTCCAGTTCCTGGAGTTCCTTAGTTAAACAGTTTTACTGCAAAGGTTGTAGTAAAGACTTTCACTCAGTTTAGGTCACCAGTGACCATTCTAACTGACCGGGGTTTAACGAGACATCACACTAAGTAATATGCTGAAGGTTAAGGAGCTCTGCAGTGATTTCACCAGGTTACAAAGTCATGGTTGAGAACTTACTAGGTCCATAGATAGGTGGGTGATTGTTTAGTTTTAGTTTTAGTAGAGAAGTGGTACAATCTGAGATGGTTTCAGTCTGGGATGAAGACAACATATGAGCTGAAAAACATCAGCTTAGTGCAAGCAATCAGGTGTGTGGAACATATAAACTGAAAACCACAAACTGTTCACCCTGCACCATCTTTAGGAAACTTTGTAGTGTGGCCATTGTTGTGGACTTTGAAACAGAAAATCTTTCCCAGCATGAATGTCACTGACTGGACAAAAGGGTGGACTATAGAGGCAAGAGGTCAGAGGTCTACAGAAAAGAGGCCCCGCGACCAGACAAGCCCCTGGGCAACGCTGGAGCAGTGTCTGCAGCTCCTGACCCCTGGAGGGGATTTCCCAGAGGCACTTTCATTCCCAAACTTAGTTCTAAGACATTACCTCACCAAAGTATATGCAGAGCATATGTGGATATCTTTGTACCAGGATGTAAACTTTTAAGTGTGTGTTTAAGAGATGCTGTCGAGTATAAAGGCAAGATTTAGTGATAGTCATGCAGAATAGAGAGCCTTGTTAGAGGAAGGTCAGTGGTGTAAACGGGGTGTAGAGTGTGAGTCTTTTTGTGCATGCATGCCTACCTCTGTGTGACAGCCAGAGGCAAACAGAGCCAAAGAGGAAGGGAAGCAGCTATTAGCAGTCACACATAACAAACTGCCTGATGGAGAGATGAGATCACTCTGGTTTGACACAAAGGAATGAAAACAAGGGCACACACGAGCTGGTATCGGTGTGTGCGTGTGTGTGTGTGTGTGTGTGTGTGTGTGTGTGTGTGTGTGTGTGTGTGTGTGTGTGTGTGTGTGTGTGTGTGTGTGTGAAAACAGAGTGGACATGGTGAAAAATGTTCTGAGCTCAGCCTTTTCCTGATTTCTCCACCGCCTGCAGTCAAATCTGAGGGCCAAACTTTCCAAACACTCATCAATCAAGCATAGTGCATTGTGGGTTTTATATTGTTTTATGAATCTGGCGAGTCAATGGGTTAATTTCATCATCATTATTTCTCTGCCAAAAGAGAAGAAGAAATAACAGAATAGCGATTCCACCCCGAAGGGAAGTTTTACAGCCGAGTCTAATTTTCTCTGATTAGATCGGACACAAAAACAAATCATCACATGGAGAGACTAAAAGGCAAGCTGAGGTGTAAAATAGCTGAAACAAGAAGCTATGAACTTCACGAGAAATTAAAATTTTGGGAGTATGATTAGAAGTCCTCTGGGTTTGAACCGGCAGGTACTGAATACATTTTGGTGTTTCCATGCCTGGACTGAGCTGAATAACCTGCTCTTAACGAAAACCCTGCAGGAGACAAAACTCCCACTTTCACTCTTTATCCTATATACCCACAAATCAATAAACCTCAGGATGCCAACAGATCCGCCTGGTGGTGGTGTTATCTCTCCTGCATTTGATAAATGAGGATAATTACCATGATGGTGATCTTTTCAGTTTTAATTCACATTCAAACTGTTCCATCTGTTTTGCAGCATCAATGCAGCTGGTGAGCACAGCAGAAAGCCTGCACCAAAAATGACCCTAAAATGCACCATCAGACAGAAGAACAAAGAGGAAAAGCTGATAGTTGAAATAATTTACAAAGATGTAAATGCTTCGCTGACATTAAAGCACTCTCTGCGGGGTCTCGGATCCCTAGCAGAGATAATTTGTTGTTTCTGGGAGTGGAAGCTTGTTTTGATCGTTCTCAGACATGAAGAAAGGGTGTAATGAATTCCATGATTGTGGTTTTTCAAGCTCTGCAACTGGTAGCTTTGGACGTTTTTGTAGGAGGACAATTCCACAAATCTCGGGAGCTGCATTCTGTGGATCATGTTAATGAAGATATAAACACACGGTATTCAACAGAATATTAAACATGTCAAACGCCAAAGAACGTGCCAGTGATGTGTTGTAAAAGATGTCGGGCCAAAAGATATGGACGTCTGTTTGTTGTCATGGAAATGGGTGACAACAGGGATCTTCTCACATGAATATATTTTATACAAAATGTTTTGCTGATTTGTCAGTTTTCTATTCTGTTTTTAAAAGCTTGTTTTGGTGTAAAATGCACATTTTCTTGTGATATGTGTTTGGGTTATATCTATTCAGAATATCACAGAGCTGAATATGAAAGGGGTCAATAATGAAATTTGGAATATTTTACTTAGAAACACTAAACTAAAAAACAATCAAGATGTTGTGGAAGTGAGGACTCAAACATAGCTAAAGTAAGTAGTAAGAAGTAAGTAAAGTTTATTTATAGAGCACCTTTCACAGATATAAATCACAAAGGGCTGTACAACATGAGTAAAATCAGGGCAAATACCTCAAACCAATAAAAACATCATAAAAACAATAGCAGTGACAACAATAGTAACCAAAATCAGGAGTAAAAGCAAAGTCAAGGTGTGAACAAGAACAAAGCCATCTTTTAGAATATTTAGCGGGGGGAAAGCCTGGAAGAAAAGGTGAGTTTTAAGATGTTTTTTGAAGACCTCTACAGATTTCAAGAGATGGAGATGTGAAGGCAAACTGTTCCAAAGTCTGGGGGCAATAGACTGAAAGGTCCTGTCCCCTTTGGTTTTTAAGCTAAACCCAGGAAGCAGCCAGGTGAACATAACTAACTCATTAATACCAACCGGAAAAAGGCTTCAGAGCAACAGAATTATCACACAAGCAACTGCACGGAAGTGACAGACAGATGGGGAAAGTTCAGGGAGAGACAAGGGACAGGTGTGATGATTACTAGAACATGGCAGGTGAGACTAATGAGCAGGGAGACTGAGGGAAGAGACACTGGGACTAAATTCTCATTTACACCAAGAGTGGAATGGACGTAGACCAGAGTTGGTCCGGCTTGTTTAAAGACAGAAAATCACTGAGTCTAGTCAAAACATTTACACCAGCCGTGGAGCGGAGCAGATCTCGATGCGGAGCTACGGAATCTGTCTGCATGGTTTCTATTTTTTCCACGTACGGATCATCACGAAATTAAAGAAATAACACGAGCAACACAGGAAGTGAGACATGTGACGGCGAGGTGCATCCGGTATATTTCAAAATAAAACGTGTTGCTTCATTTTGCCAGATTATTTAACTTTTTGTTGTTACTAATAACAGATATCAGTTCACGGTGTGTGATAGTGCAAAAAAGTCGAGTGTGGCTTTTAACAGCTTATCTCTGTATACTTAGTTTTACACATTAACTCAGCAAAGTTCTGGAGTCGTTCTGCACACAATCTGCAGCCGGTACAAACGGCAATCCATCTTGAAGTCGCACGTATTCCAGTCTGCATTTGTTCTGCTCTTGATGTAAATGAGGCTATAAACTGGAATAAACGAATAACAGGGAGAACTAAAAAGCTAAGGAATGACTAAAGAGCTGGGATGGTAAAACTAAACTTATACTAAACAAAAACACAAGAGAAGGACTGGAAAATTAAAGGCCAGAAAAATAAGAAGTTGGGGGAACTGAGGGGGCTGATGCTAAAATAAACAGAAACACAAGGATAAAACACAATGATTACACACACAAGTGAAAACCACATAGATGTAAAACCGGTGAACACAGAGGAAAACTGACACCCAGGAGACGGGACATGATAAAAACACAAAACAGTCGAATCTGACAGGAAGTAGAAAACACCAAGAAATATGTGTGATGGAAGAGAAACAGCTGGGTGATTGGCAGATGGAGCACTTGTACTTTCATTGTTTATGCATGCTTTGAATCAAACCAAGGTGTAATGAAACAACTGCAGAATGACAAGGAGTGTGTGCTGGAATCAAACCGGCAACCCTCTAATTAATGGACGGCCCGCTCCATCACCTGAGCCACAGCTGTAATAATGAGCTAAACTTTGCCAAACCCTAAATGTGAAAAGTTATTTTAAAGGATAAAATGTCTCCAGATAAGCAATAAATACAAAGCCCAAACTATTAAACTTTAGTAACATAACATAAGAGGAAAAAGCTTCCTGCATGTTTGCACTAAAGCTATGTTGTCATTAAATAAATCTCACTGAAGGTCAGACTGTCGGTGCTAAGAGAACATCATATTTTCTGTCTCACAAGACACAGTCGTGCTCGGTAATCCGTTCTGATTGGCAGCGGGGCCCGATAAGTCCATTCAAATGGCTACGAGATGCTTCTGTTTGGGCTGAGCTAAGCCATCGGTCCACTCAGTGGCTTTAGCCACAATGTAAGGAGTAGTCGGGAGCTCAGGTGAAAATGGAAGATAATGCAAACAAGATGTAGGTGTCTCCTGGAGGACAGAGGGAAGGACAGACGAATAAGGAAGTTCTTTGCAGTTTCCAGCTGAACTGGCTCGCTCAGAAGGAGGAAGAGGACGGTGGGATAAAAAAAAGAGGATTTTGTCACGAAGGGAATGAGGAGGGCACAGGAACATCTGTCTGCCCGTCTTTATGTTTTGCTTTTTATAGAACGCGGCTCACAGTTCCTGTCAGGAGCTTTTCCAGATTATGGGAAGAGCAAACACGACGAGGAGCAGGAAATTAAAGGGTCTGGAGAAAAAGCCCACTAAACTATACGATCACAAACATTAAGACACCAAGGATGTTTTCACATTGTTTCATCGTGTGGAACCACACATTCTGGTAAACAAGTTCTGGTGTTGTTTGTGTTAGAAAAACACAAACTAAACTTGGAAACGGTGGTTTTCTTGGCACGAAAGAACAGAATATGCAGTGGTCATTGAAGAGAAGTTTATTTATTTTATTTTATTTTTTTTATAAAATGAACCAAACCATGACTAATGCAACATGCAAACATGATCTCATTTCTTTTTACGAGGAAAGGAGAAGGCACACTTTCTGTACAGTGGTCCAGATGTGACGTATATTTATGAAACTAATATTTCCAGATAATGAGCATTTTTCTAGCTGATAAAAAAGGAAGCAAATGTTATTTCAACTTATGTTGAAGAAAAGGAGGAGCTAAATCAATAAAGTAATCTATGGTTTCTGAGATCTTGCATTTGTGGAGAAACATGTTGCCTAACTGATTATTTTTCTACATTCCAGTGCACAAAGGTATGCGTGCACACTATGCAGTAGAAGAAGCATGAAAATCTGCAAATCAAGACCCCACAAGAATGACTGATTTTTAAATATATTTATGCAAACATGAATTCATCTTTACCTGTTTCAGATGTGTCATTGTCATAATCCAGAACCTCCAACACCAGAGAGAAAGATTTCTGCAAAAATGAAACAGATTGTTGAGTTCATAAATCACAAAAAGTCAAGCTAACATTTGTTTGGTCTTTATAAACAGTCATGTTATAATTAACATTTTCTTTAAACACGTTCAGGATTTTCAATGTTTAAAAGTTCACATGATCACACACACACATTCATTTTTCTGACATTATTGTTGTAAACGTGTCCACTCATAACTCTAACAGGTGGCTGTTTACATCCAGCTTCAGCTGCTGCAACTAGGAAGTGTGTATGTTTTTGCAAATGCCAAAAGCAGAAGCATGAAAATCACATCCTGCTTAGTTTTATAGATTTATTTCAACCTTCCTCGCTGTGCTTTCTTTTACACTCAGATGAGCTTTAGGGGTTTGCACCTCCTCATGCCGACCTAGATCGATGTTGTATTTATAAAACGTCTAAATCTAAACATCTGTATAGAAATTCAGAGCTTTGAGTAGAGATAAAGTGTGTTCAGGTTAGTCCTCCACATCCTCCAGTGATGACTTTGAGCTTATGGAGAGAAAAATTTTCTTGCTGCTTCCATTTTTCCCCCCTGATACGTTCTTTCATCCTATATTTCAAAGAATGAATAATTCAGACCAACACATTCCTCTACAATTCTTTGCTCTTCCTTTCCTCTGGTTCTCTTTTCTTACGCCCACTCGTCCCTCCCTCAGTGAAACACGCCGGCGTCTATCATGCAAATCGCTCCGCTGTGTGCGTTGTGTTTAAGGCTTTCTTAAAGGCCTACACGGATGTGCAGTCACGTCTTTTGGTGAGGGAGAATACTGCCTGCGGGGAGGGGGGTGGAGGATAGAGGGAGAAGAAATGGTTGAGAAGGAGGTGATAGGTGCAGGAGGTGTGTGAGATGCGGAGCGAGGCAGAAATGGATTTTTAAGGGAGGTTAAAGGCATGTGGCTGGAAATAGCTTCAGTGTTAGGTAGAAGCAGAGAGCAGTCAGGAAGATTGAGGGTTGCTGAGAAAGTTCAAAATGTTAGAGGACTGGAAATTGTACGTCAAAAAGTCTGAGTCAGGGGATATGTTTCAAGCACATCAAGCATCTTCACAGCAACAGATTAGATGGGAGGAGAAGGTGAGCCAAGTGATTGTTCGAGAGGAGAAAAAGGACAAAGAAGAAGGAAATTACAAATTGGAAGACTCCTACAATTTCCAGCTACGGAATGTGATGCAGACAAAGAGGGAGCGGCGAGATGAAACAAAAAGGATGACGAGGGAAGAGATCCAAAAGGGAAGACAATAAGTGTTGAGGTGATATAAAAGATGTAGACAGGGAAGGAGAGGAACACCCACGCATGGAAGTCGTAATGCTAATTAGATGTGCTGGGCAGCACGGGTCACACAGACAGTTCATTAGAGCTGGCACACACACCAGCTGGAGTCACTTAGGGTTGAAGCTGGGTTTGGGTTCAGAATTTACAATGAGGAATTCAGCTGGTGACTTCAACAGCAACACGTCTCTACAGCATCCGTGGTAGAAGTCACATCTTTCATTTATGAGCAGTTTGTTGGTCAATAAAACTCACTAAAGCAAACAAGGAGACTAAAATCCTTCTGAAGCCAAGAAGATACTAATGTCCCCTCAACATCTTCTACCAGACAGGGGGGTCACATTTGACAAGTGAGAGAATAATTTATTAAGAAAAGTCTGCATTTTCAGCCAGAACTATAATAATTAAAAGCTTTAATGTCCACATCAAGAAGAAAAGCAATGATTGTTGATGATGTTCTTTTTGCATTTTCAGCAAAAGTGTTTTTTCAAAAATATATAATAAACAATGACAATATCAGGCATTCATATTTTTTATAATTAAGTGATCCGTTGTTTCAATGTACAAGTTTGCAAGTGATCTCCCCTTATAAATGGATAATAAATAGTATGTGTGTGTGTGTGTGTGTGTGTGTGTGTGTGTGTGTGTGTGTGTGTGTTATTAATGAATGTGTGACACTTTTTAAACTTTTATTATGTGTTTATTACGTAGTAAGTCATGCTGAGAAAGAGAGAACAGATCTGGATCACTATTTTACAAGAAAAAGATAAATTTTCTCTCTTTTTCACCCTCAATTATTACCTAATAAATATTTTTAAATGATTTATTAAGTGTCATTAATAACACATCTATAAATTATTTATAATACCTTTACAATAATAACTTAAAATGGTTGCTTCAAAAATGTCTCTGAGCTGATGCTCCTAATTATTTCTGTTTTTTTACCTTTTCTATTAAATGAATTAAGGGTCGAATTTATTCTTTTTGTGAATTTTGAATTAATTGGAATGAGTTTTTTTGTCTTTCATTAAGTGGCTCTATTGACACTGTTTTTGGTCTTAAAACTTGGATAGTACTTCACATTACTTCTGTAAACACTCAACATTTGAAGTTAACCAGTAAATTGTTAATTAAGTAATCGGAACTGCAGGATTAGATTAGCTGGTGGTGATTACCTCACCTGTTGACACATCTTTAACTCTCAGTGTGTTTCAAACCACCCTCCCCTGCCCTCAAGCTTCCCTCCATCTACTGGATCTGCCTCTTTCTGTCCAGACTCTGACAAATATCAGCTGTGGCAGGTAAAACCCTGAGGGATCCCTATGGTTTTTTCTTTTTTTTTTCTTTCTGTTATTCATCCTCCTCAACACATTTTCTCACTTCCCACAAGCATACACAGCCAGGTAAATTACGACTGACAGCACAGGAAGGGTGGATGTGTGTTTAGCTTTGTTTGTGAGATTTGGCTCCAGCTGGGAGGTCAGGAAGGATCAAAGTAACCATGGTTACCAAATTAAAAATCACAGCAACACTAAAGGTATTCATCTACAGACCCACCCTGTCCATCGCTGCTAAACATGCACACAAACACAAACAAGGGAGCTTGTTTTAAATTTTGGATTGATGTCAGAGAAACTGTGGAAACGATGTAGGTGAATTTACATCGCATCTGTGGAGGAAAACACAAAGAAGGGAATGAAAACAAGACAAACAAGAGGCGACGAGATCCCAGTCAGAGATAAAATGATATTTCTGCCTTGTTCCACAAAAAAAAAGGAAACAGTATTGTGTTTTTGCTGATGTTTGTGGAGATAATGACCAGAGTGGTGACAGTGAGAGCACGATAATGGGTTGTGTGTTTGGTGGTAGTTTGTGCCATTTTACAAACATAGAGAGAAAATCCCCTCTTTAGAAGTAAAGCATCAAAAATTAAAGTTTGTGTTTTATCTTGTTTGTTTTTTGTTTGTTTGTTTGTTTTAAAGCATTTTAGAAATGAAATGACGGGCATGCAGTATGGTTCTAAGTTGCACAAAATGTCAGAGACGTCATTCTGGCATTCAATAAATATTGTAAATAAAAGTTCTGCATCTTCTTGGACACCAAAATTTTATCCTATATTTATTTTCCCAATCGTTCATTAGTAATTTATCTGAGTTTTATGCACAAAGGAGTGAAAGAAATCCACACAAAACAACCATTTTCTTCCACAGCATGTGATAGTTTATACTCCACATGCAGTCTTGTTGTTTATGAGTACCAAAATGAAATAAATTTGTAAGTTATTTAACAGCAGACTTTTTGACTTGCCATAGCTGGAAATTAACAAGTGGAACTAATTAAACTGACACTGGTTCATATTCAGCTGTTCTGCAGACATTTATAGTTAATTAAACCTGCATCTAAAATGAACCAAAAGCCTGCAGCTTTTACCCCATTAAGCTGTGAAAATGTGTCTGTTGTTGCACTCTACAACTTGGTTGAATGTGTCGCAAAGTAAGCCCTGTTGCCTTGTGGCCAGAAGGTTGCAGGCTTGAATTCCTGCTTTGGACACTCTGAATGGAGTTTGCACGTTCTCCCTATGCATGCATGTGTTTTCTCTGGGTACTCCAGCTTCCTCCCACTGACCAATATCATCATTAATTGGCAACCCTGACGTATCCCAGATGGGAATGACCCTTTTTTTTTATCTCTGTGTGTCCGGTGATGGACTGGCCTCGCTTTTGGATGTCCTATGTCTTGCTTTATGGGTGCTGGAGTTAGATAACAAGCTCCCCATGACCAAATGAAAACCTCCACCTGCCAAAAGTGAAACCAACACGAAAGAGACAAAAATTGCAGTTCCCTTCTCCTGGTTCGTCCACTAGGGGCTGGCTCCAGAATTGAGTAAATTCCCACTGACTCCCACATTAAAAATGCCAACTTTATAGCAGAAATAAACATGTTTACAGCCTGGTTCAGAAAACATTTTAAGTTTAATATGTCAAGTTTTCCATCATGACAACTCTGAGGGGGGGGTGATTTTTTGTAACTCATCTGATTAGATGTAATTAAAGCTTGGAATAATGAATACTTAGGGGCGTGTCCCTTTGATTGACAGGTGGCATATGAGCCAGCGGCACCTGCTCCAGGGAAGGCCTCAGCTTCACGTTAAAAGTGGTATAGCCGGGGTCAAATTAAAGGGGAGCTGGGGGAGCCCGCCTCCTCTGAAAGAGTGATGGGCTCCCCAGTAAGCCCGCAACTGACACACCCAGGGTAGCCTGAAAATGATCCAGTCCCCTTCCCCCTCTGAGTTTTAACGGAGGTGATCGGACAGACGACTGTTACTAATGTTTTTCTGATTAGACCACTTATCTTCCTTCAGAGATGAAGAGGTTCAAAAACTCAGGAGATTAAACAGCAACTCACAACAAATTTAGCACAAATTAAGTTTTTGTTTTAAAACTAAATTCAGATGAAGGAAGGAGCATCTATCAAAAACTATTTCAGATCTGTTTTTCTCCACTTTCTCAAGGACACGGCTTTCAGACACCGTTCACTTAAAGGCCTGAAACAGTTCATTTTGCTCCATAGATTCTTCATAATAAAAAGTAGCTCAAGTCACGGTTCTTCAGGCAGTCCAGAGACAACTTCACAAGACACCCTGCTTCTAATTAAAATGTGAATAAATAAGATTGAGGTGGTTTAAATCATCTCCACAATATAGTCAGATG